AATAAAAATTCTGAGATTCGTTTAATTCTGAGATTTAATATTAATATAATTATGAAAAACCAATGATTTTGGTTAATAAATATACTTTAGGTAAATAAAACATACTTAAGTGCCAAACTTAAGTATGTTCTTGTTTATATCACATAAGAATGTTTAGGAAATTTTTAGAATGTTGAAACAACCGCCTTATTCGGTTTGGGTGAAAATTTTGTATCATCTTAAACTTTGAATTTTGAATTTTAAAACCTGTTAACTTAAATGTGGTGTAAGAAAATAAAAAATAAAATTTATTAATTTGTTGCCTCGCATTTGTGGTAGAAGTTGTAGCTCGCATTTACGGTAGAAGTTGTTTTAGAGTTTTAGTTTTAGTCTTAAAGTTTTTCATTTTCAAGGCTCCAATCACTACAAGTTTTATTTCTTAACCTACGTATAAATCATTGCTTAGCTACAGTTCGAATCATACGTATATTACATTGTGGCATAGCAAAATTACTTTTGATCAGTAGACGTACGTGGGTAAGGTGCCCAATTTCTGTTTCTCTGGTACAATAAATTTAAGTATTAAAGAAAAAAAAAACTCTTTAAATATTTCATATGGCTATTAAACCTTGCGGTTCTATGTTCAGTTGCTTGATGGACCGTAATTTTTACTTATACTGGCTTTGCGGTAGCTAGGCCACTGATTCTACACGCAGATATTTACATAAAAAGTTCTAAATTTTTCATGCTCTTATCAAAGTACCGTAGTTGTTTAAGCCAAGACTTTTTGAGTCAAAGGATATTCTTGAGCAGAGGGGATTTTTTCGTATCAAATGGCAAAAAAAAGGTGGTATATTCCCCATAATTCAGAACAGGTTAAAACTTTCTCTTATTAGTTTTTAATTAATAAATACATTTACGCAAAAAACTTGTAAAAAAGAACAAACAATTATGCTAATTATGTTCCTTTCATATAAACTACGCTTTCTGAGTCTCCCATGGGTATTTGCGCCTTCTGCTAACTGCCTTGTTTCAACTTTGTCTAAATTCCAGACTTTTTGAATGGCTGGCCAGCCATTCGAAAGGTCTGGAATTTAGACAAAGACCCATGGGAATGAATGAATATTTTTGAGACGGTTTGATTTAGAGAATGGTTATTATAGCTAAAACTATCATGGACCGGAACTAGAGAGGGATTTAACCATGGACAGAAACCTATTATTGATATTTTCAAACTTTACAGGGAAGAAATAGCTAAAACCGCGCAAATCAAATGTTGCGGCAAACTAAATGTGACTTTTACTTTGTTACATTACTTTTGTACAAGATCCTGTCAAAGTTATTGTAAAATATAAGTAAATTTATTTACTTACTTTATATAAATTACTTTTAACTTTCTTTACAAATTATATAAAATGTAAGCTTATGTAGTTAAAATTTTATTTTATATGATTTATTTTTATATAGATTTGTTATTACTTTTAAAACAAAATATTCCTTCTTAAGAAATATTATTTTATTTGTAAATGTCCGTAAACATTGATAAAACTAAATACATTTTGTTCACGAAACCTTCGAAAACTGATAACATACCCGAAAACTTCTTGATTTATTTATAAACAACATTAAAGTAAAAAGAGTTCATTCAATGAAAATCCTAGGTATAATATTTGACGATCATTTAAACTGGAAAAATCAAATCCAATTAGTGGAAAGCAGCATTTCAAAAGCTCTTTGGATCCTTTTTAAAACGAAGCACCTTTTGAATATAATGTGCTTAAAAAGCTTGTATTTTTCATTTATTCATAATCACATTAGTTATTGAAATATAGTGTGGGCAAGTAATTATTCATCTTCTTTAAAAAAAATTTATACCAAGCAAAAGCAAGGGAGCCGGTTAATTTTGAATGCAGATAGATATGCATGCGCCAAGCCTTTATTTAAAAAAATTAATGTTTTAAATATTTATAAACTAAACATCTATCAAAATTTGTTATTTATGTTTAAAATTCATAACAACATGCTTCCAACATATTTTCAACCCTATTTTACCTTAATTAATCATAAATACTCTACAAGACATTTCATTGGCAACTTTCTCATCCCTAAAACATCCCTTAGAAAAACAGACTTCTCAATTACATGTCAAGGACCACGTTTGTGGAACTATTTCCTTAATAGAGACATGAAAAACATGACTCCAATTGAACTATTTAAAAGAGCAGTTAAATGATACTTATTACATTTAAATAATAAAAACATTCTTTTGTATTTTTAAAAACATTTATATATCGATTTGTTAACACGTATATATGCATCTTATAACTTATATATTTTATGAGCTGTAATATGTTATAGTATGTACAAAACTTGTAATATGTATAAAACTTATATAACCTTTATTTTAGGAACTTAATACGTAAATCTTATTTGATATTTTCACAAACTTAGGAGCAGGGTGATAAGACGCATTGTCTTCTACTTGCTCCTGTCAGAATATGAAGACTTAATTTTTATTTTTTTACAAAAAATGTTGTAAAATGATTGTTTATTGACAAAATATTTATAATATATATATATATATATATATATATATATATATATATATATATATATATATATATATATATATATATATATATATATATATATATATATATATATATATATATATATATATATATATATATATATATATATATACGAAAGTAGATTTTAGTGTATCAAAAAAACTTTTCGGTGTCAATTTTCGTTTGAACGTGCAAAATTTTTCCAAAAGATTAAAAAATGGAGAAACTCATGAAAGAGAATGTTTATCATATTCAAAGTCTGATAAGGCTCTATTATGCATTCCTTGTTATATATTTAAAGATAATATTTTATTTCTTTTAAAATGGGTGGATACTTCGATTTATCCCACAAAAATTCTTCTACACATCGTCTTTGTGTTATGATCATGATTAAAAGCAGTATAATGAGTGGAAATGTGGAAACGTTTTTGCTCAAATATTTTAAAAACGAGGTAGATATTTAGAAAAATTTTTTACATAGAGTTTTTTCTATATTGACTACGGCTAAAGACTGGAACGATTTTAAATTTTTTTAACAATGTTGATCAGAAAGCGGTCAAAATGTTTGAATTAATTTTAATGTTTTTGGATAAATTCAAATGACTTTTTAGAACACTTATTTTAGAACACTTTGACAGTGTTAATAAAAAATCACAAGTTGCTAATACAAACCTGCTTACTTTTATTCAAATATACGATTCGTTGTTAAACTAATTGTTGGAAATGAAGTAAAATTTTCTTAGATTTTAAGAAAAAGCCTTTTAAATATCGGTTAGCTGTGTTTAAAAACAGAAAAGAAAAAGAAAAAGGAAAATGCGTTTTGATGAATCCGAAGAAGATGAGATTATGACAGAGATGATATTATAACAGAGATGATATTATAACAGAGATGAGATTATAGCAGAGATGAGAATAAAACAGTCCACATGAATAAAATGAATGTATTTGATAAAATTATGTCAGTTTTGCTAAAAGAATTACAAAAGCGTAAAAATTCATACAGTTTGAATAAAAATTTTGGACATTTCGAAAATATATGTTCTATTGATACTAATGTCAATATTAAAAAAAAAAAAAAGTTATTTGGAATTTTATGATTAAGACTATGAGGAACTAATGGATGAAATTCTTCATTTTAAACAGTTTTTACTGAAAAGTGATAAACCTATCATGAAGGATGTATCGCAAACCAATTCAATTTTTTATTTATAAAAAAATATAATAACGTGTTTCGAAATTTGGAAGTCATCTTCAGAATTTATATGTCACTAGCAATAACAAGTTATTCTGCTGAAAAATAGTTTTTTTTTTTGAAAAGAATAAAATGAAAAATATGAAAAAAACGAAAATAAATGACGTTTTGATTACGCACATTAAACACGATGTTTTAGAGAAAAATTGATTTTGATGACATATTTAAAAATTTTTTAAATCAAAAACATAGAAAAAAAGAATTAAATAAATTAAACTCATTAAGTAATACAATGTGCTTTTTATTTCAATTCAAATTACACCAAAGTTTATATAAAATGCCTACCCAGTGGGAACCGGACCAAATCGTTCAAAACACGTATAAAAAACGTCCCAAACGTGTATAAGACGTTTAAAATACGTCCTTTTTACGTCCGTTTCCCTGGGTAGGGGCGGCGCATTGTTAAATCCGCCGAAGTAAGTCACATTAATTCAACACATTAAAACAATAAATTTAGATGGATTTTGTTTAATACAAATCAATGCTTAGATGCATAAAAGATGTGAAATATACATCTTATATACGTTTAAAGGATCTATATTACATAAATAAATAGCTAAATAAATCGTCTAATATACACTGTTTTAAACGCGTCTTAAACATCTTTTTAAGAGACGTAATATATACATCTTTTAGGTACATGCTTCACATCTTTTACACATCTAAGGCATTATAAACTATATCGGGCCAATATTGCAATGTGAACATTTTGCCAATATTAGCCAATATTGGCGCTACAATATTGCGCCAATATTGTTAAGTCAATATTGGCTAATATTGGCAAAATGTTAACATTGCAACATTGGCGCGATAATGCTTAAAATATTGCGTCAATATTGTAAATAATATCGCGCCATTAATGGGGATAAAATACTGGCCAATATTGGCGTAATTTAGTTTACAATATTATCCTGATATATATAATACAAATCAATACATTGAGTATTTTCGATTAAATTTTTATTATTAAAAAATAATAAAAAATATTGCCTTCTACAAGTTTTTAATAATTAAAATTTATAACAGTTTTTTTTGTTTAAATGATACTATAGTACTAGGCTGCATTATTCTTTTGAGCTAAACAGGTTATAGTCTAGGAGATGACAATGATCATAGAGCACGCTTTAAGTAAAAACAAATGGAAATCATTAAATTTATTTGAAGTTATATGAAACAGGTACAAATAAAAAAAAGAGGTATAAAGTTTTCCAAAACCAAAATATAACAAAATAAAACCAATGCTATTTAAATACAAGCATAAAAAATACGAATATATATATTTATAAACTACTGTATTAAACTCTCACTACCAGATAGTGGGCATCGACTTTGATTATTTTGGCGATACTTATTTCATTGCTCAATATTAGGCGTTGCTTAGTTACGGTTCTTTTTTTCTTCCGTAATACCTATTAATGGCCGTCGCCAGAAAGCTGCCAATTTTTTCTTTAATACTTTCTTTCAGTAGCGATTTCGAAATTAACGAATACAACGATAAATGACTAAACGCAACTCTACAAAATGTTTTTTCAATATCATCACAATATATTTTGAAATATATAATTTTTCACGTATAAATATTTTAAAACAATTAGCTTTTATTAAAATATTTATTTATTAAAAGGAAATGGGATATAGATTACAAATATTGTGCTTTACCTATAACGACCTTGCAGGACGTTTTTGTTTCCTTTCATACATTGAGTATGAAAAACATATTTCTTTGGTCATTAGCTGTATTAAGATTGCTGCTGTAAGTTGTTTCTCATCTCCTCCAACCGAAGTAAGAAAGTTCATCTAAAATAAGAAAACAAATGTAATAAAATTGGTTGTACTAAAAATAAAATGGTTCCTCTTATGTGTATTAGACGGTTTTCCATAATGTGATTCTTATTAAAATATGACATTATGAAAAAGCAATTTGTTATAAATAGATTAGGTCTTTTTTTGCAGATCAGGATTGATTTATTTTCATAAAACTTTTATAAAATTAGTTTTGTAACACTAGGAAGAATACCATCCAGAACTTCATACAGGTTTGTGAGCTTGTGAGCTACAATAACAGAGTAGTATAAAATTTTCAAAGACTGGTTGCATTCGCCACAGCAAAAAGCTGAATATAACGTAAAGATGTCATAGATGTCTGAGATTAGTAGTCATTGCTACACAAAATACATTGCTAACTGGGCATAAAAGATAAAAATTACAACAAAATATAGTAGACATTTATATAAAACATTCTTATATACATCATAATTATAAGCAATCATGTATCATATTGTATCATTTGTTTGTATGTTTCATATGAATGTTTCGTATTTTTTAAAAAATAGAAACTTTAATAGTATATGGAACTGTTACCAAAACTATTAACTAATATTAATTTACTGATAGATACTTACTGATTCATAATGTGCCTCTGTTCCATAATTTTTCTTCCAGGTTAAGATGATCTTTTTTCCTCTTTTTTAACTAAAAAATAACTCAATAAAAAAAAGTCAATCAACCCAATAAATTTAAAGAAATGGTCCAGCAAAACTCTGATGGAAACACTCAACCCTAAAAAACTAAAGATTTCTTTTTATCTTTGAGAAACTGATGTACAATCTTATCAGTGTCACTTTTTTTGCAACCTGCAACTTTTTAAGCTGGAGGCATAGATAATTTTTCTTCATCACTATTAACAGCTGTTTCAACGCTTGATGTAAACTCTAAGATTTCGACTCTAAAGCAGTTTCTTAACTTTACAAAAAAATATAAAGAAAATATGAAACCATGCTAAACAATGAACAGTATTTGAGTCAAATATAGCTTTCTAGATCATTAGCATCTTGCATGTGTGTAACTTAAAATTAAACAAGCAAAAACAATAATTAAGCAATCACCAAAATAATAAAAAACTTTATTATCAGCTGCTTCCATTTACTTTTAGAAGCGTGGTTTTATGTATGGGAGCTAAAACGTAAGATGCTTTCAAGTGATTGGGCCAATACATCAAACTTTCATTTATCAGCCATGAAAAACAGGTTACATACATTGCTCACATGTTGTTTTTCTATTAAAAAAAGTCAGCTAGAGCAAATTTTCTAAACTTTATTGCCATCTTCAGTTTAACAGTACAGCAGCTAAAAAATTCACAACAAATAACTATATAATATAAAAAACTTCAGATTAACTTTTTTTTCAGATTACAATTTTTTTAAACTGAAAAATTAGTCTAAAATTTATTAATTTTTATTTCTTAATGTAAATTGTAATCGCTTTGTATTTCAAGTAGAGTTTGATAATTGGTTAGTTAAAGAAAGTCAATTTTAAAATTTTTGTGCTTTGGAAAGGTTTCCATTATAACATTTTCTTATTTAAATATGACATAAAGGAAGAGTTAAGAATATTTGTTACAATTTTATTTTTATCAGTTTTTCATCCTCCATATAGGGTGGCTTTTTATTATTGAGTATAATTTTATTTACTGTAGAAATAAAATTTTACTACGGCTAAAGAGCCGAAGTAAATGCACCCTGAAGAACACCCCGAAATTACGAGATTCAAATGAGCCTGAGATTAAGATCTCGTGCTCAATTAAGGATTCAATTAAGAGTTCAATTAAGAGTTCAATTAAGTTCAATTAAGTTCAATTAAGTTCAATTAAGTTCAATTAAGTTCAATTCAAGTTCAATTAAGTTCAATTAAGTTCAATTAAGTTCAATTAAGTTCAATTAAGTTCAATTAAGTTCAATTAAGTTCAATTAAGTTCAATTAAGTTCAATTAAGTTCAATTAAGTTCAATTAAGTTCAATTAAGTTCAATTAAGTTCAAAGAGATCAATTAAGAGTTAGCCAGGCATTTTTTCAGATATGGAACACTAAAATAAAGTGTTTTAATGTTTAAAATAAACATAAAAATTATTCGGTGTTTAATTAATTTCAAATTTAATTTTATATTAATTTTATTTCTACAATAAATAAAATTATACTCTATAATAAAAAAAAGAGTTTGTTTACTGGTATACTGCAGTAAACATACAGTGAATTGTATAACTTTACTATTTAAGATTTAAAAAAAATGATAAACAGCATTTGTTATTTAAGTATAAGGGTTGGTTTTATTAAAATATGATATGTCAACCAACTTGACATTGGAGGATTTTAAAGTATCTTTAGGCAAATAACTATTATAAGAGTTTTGATATAACATATTGTTATTATTATTAATGTTGTTATTATTTTTATTTTCTAAGGTTATTATTTTAAAAATAGAATAATTAGGCATATAAAATAAGCTTATCAACCTTTTGTTCTATTGTATCTACTTGTGTAGGTCTAATTGTTTATATGCAATTGTACATTTGATGTACCCCTAAATTTGCATAATATCAAAATTTTTAGCTATTTATAAGTCTGTTTCAAACAATAATTGAAAAGTAATTTAACTAAAATTTATATTTTTTAATTTTTTTATCTACATATTTAAAAGAATATAAATATTTACAATGTTTATAAAATGTTTTATGACAAAAGGTTTGTCAACAAATCATAAAATATGTTTTACAATTTGAAAAGAAGTTAAATTTTATTTGGTAGTATTACACAAAAGCTTATTATGTTGTATTTAAGCTGCAAAATGCAGGTAGAGAAAATTTTTTATTTGAAGACTGAGATAATGATACCATTTGACAATGAAAATTTATACATTTAGCCAAAAGAAGAAATTTTGAACATTTACACACGCATAACAGCTGTAGTTGATTTGGATTAAATTTTTTTGTTACAATTTTTTTAATGTACAGTATTGGACAAAACATTTGCAACCAACATCGAACAATGCTAAAAAGTGTTCCGAATTTTACATGTCCTCAAAACGAAACGAATTATACTACCACAGCAAACAGCTCAGGAGTATGGAGTCATAGCAGGCTATCACATGAGCAATCAGCTGACTGGTGACAGCACACAGGCAGAATTTAAGAAGTTTCCAGAAGTTTCCAGAAGCATGCAGAAGCTTCCAGAAGTTTCCAGAAGAAGCATCTAGAAGCATCCAGAAGTATCCAGAAAAATTCAGTAGCATCCAGACGCATCCAGAAGCTTCCAGAAGCATCGAAAAGAAGCATCTTGAATTTTCCAGAGCAGGTTCACACAGGTTCATTTTACTATATAAGAGACATGTAAACCGACATGTAATTCAGTCAGTACATGGAAGTCAATCAGTCAGTATTATCAAGGACGTATTAACAGCTGGACGTTTAACGTATTGTTTAAAAGCCAAGATATCCGCGGTATTCATAGATACAAATAACAATAGCAAAACAATAAAGAAATATTTTTAACTTGAGAAGCCTAAGAAATATTTAAACATTCCATAACACCTAAAATCTCTAAAAAGTTTTTAAATTAATAAAACCTTTTCATTATATGATCTATAAACTCAAGCGAAATCTTTACATGGAAAATCATACAAAGTTAATCACAGAAAAATATTAAAACAAAATTGTAAGTTAGACAAAATTTCCGACAAAAATGAGAAATTTAAATACTTAAAATAATAGTAAAAACTAAGTGAAGGGAATAGAGACCACAAGTAATCTATCGCTCGATCTATATATGATTTACAGTTTTACCTACAACTTCTAGAAAATTCGTTCTTGCAAACTAAATATTACTTTTTTACAAAAATATGATTTTTGACGACTAAGTTTTATTAATAATAAGTTCTTATTAAAAAGCGTTCACGTATCAATTTTGTTGCTTTAAAACAGAAGCTATTTCTCATTAATTAAAATGCATTAGTTTTAAAAAAAAAGTTAGAGTTTTGTAGGTAATTGCAGTTTTTAAAAAAAGTAGTTAGAAAAGCGAAATTATCGGAAAAACGTCAATTTACTTTTATAAATTATTCAGAAAAATGACGCTAAAAATTATAGCTCGCATAAATTTTTGTTTACTCGCGGCGCCTCAGATTTTTAACAATGGGTTAAACGTCCATCTATTAATACGTCCTTGGTATTATCAAGACAGTTTATCGAAGTAAGTTTTATCAAAGTGTTTTATCGAAGAACATCAATACAAGAAGTGAAATACAACAAGTGTTTCATTACATCAATATAGTGCACATCCAACCAAGACGTTGTGTTCCACAGAGTATTATTGTATCATCACAAGGTAAATGTAACACGGTAAGCCTTGAGAAGCGTGATTATTTATTCTTTATATTTTTATGACTTTAAGTGCAAAAATGGTTCCCGAAAGTCTTGGATTGGAACTAAGAAAGAAAATTTTTGGCGATTACGTAAGTGGAATGTCACAAAAAAGTGTTTGTGATAAAAATCGCGTGAAAAAATGGACCGAATCAAGACTATGTTCCAAAGACCGTGCTCCACCACTTCTAAAGAGGATTCTATGATTGTCAGATCCGTCAAGAAGGATCCCTGGATATCATCAGTCAAGATACAAAAGCAATTAGAGCTGCCTGTATCGGACCGAACAATCTGACGACGTGCTGTTGAAGCCGGATTGTTTTCTCGACGCCCTGCAAAGAAACCGCTGACTTCACTAAAGAACCAGAAGAAAAGACTCCTGTTCGCTACATCTCATAATGACTGGAATGTGCAGAAATGGCGCATTGTCCTGTTCAGTAATGAATCGAAGTTCAACATCATCGGGAGCGATGGCATTTGCCGTGTACGCCGACCGGCCGGAAAACGCCTCTATTTACGTTACTGCAATAAAATCGTGAAACATGGTGTAGGCAATGTAATGGTCTGGGGGTGTTTTTATGCTAGCGGTCTAGGTCCAATACATCGAATCGATGGAATAATGGACCGTTTCATGTATAAAAATATCCTGAAAGATGTTATGTTACCTCATGCTGAATGGAATATGCCAATAAAATAGGTTTTTCAGCAAGACAACAATCCAAAACACACTGCAAAAGTAGTCAAGCAGTGGTTTCAATATAACCACCTATCGGTAATAGATTGGCCGTCTCAATCTCTGGATCTCAACCGTATCGAGAATCTGTGGGAGATCGTCAACCGCAGAACTAATCGTGAAGGTGTTTGTAACAAGGATCAACTGTTTGAACAAAAACAAAAGGCCTGAGCAGCAAGTCCACAAAGTTTCATTGATAACCTGATCAAATCTATGTCTCGAAGATGCAAGGCTGTGATCGACAACAAAAGATTCGCCACGAAATAGTGTTAGCGAAATACAGCTTGGTCAACATTTTGTGGAGTTGCACTTGTTATGTCCGGAAGGAAATCAACTTTTTTTAATACTTTCGATTAATTTATTAATTTTCGTGTACAAATAATGAACTTTGTGATGAATAAAACTTGAAGAACTTTGTCTCTAAACAGTTATTTCTCTAAATTGAAAAAATGAAGCACTTTTATATAAAGAAACTAAATTAGCATTATTTGGTTGCACTTGTTTTGTACGATAATGTAATTTCTTAAATAATGTTTTAAGTTTATTTTTAATTATATTTCAGAATTTCTCAGATACAGAGTTTATCATTTGTCATGTTTCCATTACTTCAACAGATGATATTTTGTTTTTGTTACCATCGTTTGGTGTTGCATTATTAAGTAAATAGTTTTGGTCATCTTTCCACAAACCTTAGCTGTTTCTATATTAAAGAGAATTTTATTTAAAAAATACCCGTTCCATGACAATTTTTTTTTTCAATTCTATCTTGACTTGCACTAAGGATATTTAACATCATTGTACAAACCTGCCACGATAATGGAAAGATTTATTTGTTGTGGAGACTTTGCATTCAAAAGTTTATATTTTGCAATACTTTCAATTTTAAGATTATAATCTTTAGAATATAGCAAACAATTTTAGAATATTACATTACTTGACTTATAAAGACTTGTGAGAGGTTACCAATATTTAAATTGTATCCCATTTTGTAAACAGATTCAGTATTTCAAAAACAGATAAAGTTCAGCCCTGTGAATTTTCCAAGAAGTGTTTTTCCTTTAAGTTTTAGACAAACTTTCTATCTTATTAAGTTAATTTTGATGAGATTTCATTAACAATTTGAATAAAACTTTTGATTTTTCTGTAATTTTTTTCTTGGCTTTCGTTAATAAGCAATGGCTGATAATAAGCAGTAATTGGTTCAGCCTGATCATTAGGACTAAAGTAAAACTCATTTTCATATGCAGTGTCTGTTTCACTACAGTTCTCTGTTTCATCAATTTACCAACTAATAATTTTAAAAACAACAGCTTTTGATGCTAATTTATGTTATTAATTGGTTGCTTATGTTATTAATGGTATTAATGGTTATGTTATTAATGGTACGGCCATGTTATTAATTGGTATTAGTTTATAATATTAATTGGTTCAGCCTGATCTTCAGAAGTAAAGTAAAACTCATTTTCATATGCAGTGTCTGTTTCATTACAGTTCTCTGTTTCATCAATTTACCAACTAATAATTTTAAAAACAACAGCTTTTGAAGCTAATTTATGTATATTTTGATACGAATTCTCGGTTTTTCTATAACTTCGCTGGATTGATAAAAGTATAGATTTAATTTTAAACTTATTTTACTTTTAAAAATTGGCAAAGTATTAATTGATACTGGTTAACAAAATTTGAGGTATTTTAACGCGCTGGTTCCACCTTGTGAGACTTTTTCTACTCACACAGTATATTTGTACAAAATTCCACCATAACTTTTGCTTACTTAGCTTTAAATCAAATGTTTTGCCTGTCGTTTTTTTGCGCACGCGTTTTAGAAGTTAAACAAAGCAACCCATCTATTAGGATAAATTACTTGAGATTAATAACATAATTAATAACATAAGTCTTTATCATGGCATATGTGCAATGATTATCTAACGATGTTTTGATGTTTACTTGAGCATATTAATAACATAAGTCTTTATCATGACATATATGTAACGAATATCTAACGGTGTTTTGATGATTTCAGAAACTTTAAGTTTTTTTAAAAACTTTTCTCTTTTGTTTGCTCTAGTATATAATATATTAGTTCGAGTATATAAATAATAATTCTAGTATATAATCTTTATATATGTTATGTATATAATACCTATAGAGCTTTAAAAGAGTTTTATTTTGCATATAAAAAACAAACAAAAAAGAATTAAAAAAATATCTGAAAATAAAAAATATCTAAAATGAAAAGTATACCTGACAAAATAATTAAAAAGTATCTATACTTATTTATCTTTATAGTATAGCAACTTGATTGAATAAATTAAAGTCTATTAAACGTTGCTAATTGATTTTAAATTGTAGAAATCGAAAACTAATTATTATTATTAATTAAAAAAATATATAAAATATAGTCACGATAATATAAGAAACATTTGAAATTGTTGCTTATGGTGATTTAAAATTTTATAAAATTTTTAATACTTTAAAGTAAGTCTTTTCAAATAAATATGATATAAATATGATATAAATATGATAAAAATATGATATAAAAATGATATAGATTGTTCTAAAGCCTTTATAAAACAATAAAAGTACTAATAATTCGTATGCTTAGTGTACTGTACTATAGTATACTGTACTATAGTGTACTGTACTATAGTGTACTGTACTATAGTGTACAGTAATATAGTGTACTGTACTATAGTGTACTGTACTATAGTGTACTGTACTATAGTGTACTGTACTATAGTGTATTGTACTATAGTGTACTGTACTATAGTGTACTGTGCTATAGTGTACTGTACTATAGTGTACTGTACTATAGTGTACTGTACTATAGTGTACTGTACTATAGTGTGCTGTACTATAATGTACTGGATAAATAATATTACTGTTTTGCATCAATCCATTAAACTTTTTTTTGTACTTTTGTCACTTTCTGACCCACTGTGCAGTGTTAGGATTTAAACCACAACGATGCACTTCAGAACGCTGAGAGCAGACCACTTCTGGCTCAAAGGCGTGATGGATGTAATTAATATCTTTAAAACTTTAAAAGAATTAAATTTTGTATTTTAAAAATTTAAAATAAAAAGATAGGTACCGTAGAAAAATTACCAGCATTTAGAATGCTGCAAGCTAACCACATCGGCCACTATTATATACATACACTACGAATATATATATATATATATATATATATATATATATATATATATATATATATATATATATATATATATATATATATATATATATATATATATATATATATATATATATATATATATATATATAAATATATATATATATATATATATATATATATATACATATATATATATATATATATATATATATATATATATATATATATATATATATATATATATATATATATCAAATTTAAGTAACGTCTTTAATAGTATGTGTTGTAATACTATGAGCATTAGAACATCATATACTACATTATACGTTTTATTTCTTTAAAAAAAAGCTACGACTCTTTCTTGTCATCAATTCGGGTATAATGGGTATCATAAGTTTTTTGTTTAACATTTACGAATGGGTAACGGCGTTGAACTGTAAATATTTAAAAGATACAAAACAATAAATCATATATAAGCAACATCAAAATTTATTCACTATTTTTTATACTGATGTTTTTTTAAATAATAAAATACAAAAAAAATAAAAAAAAAATAAAATAAACTTAAAACTACTTTATAATAAGCCACAATTGAAAATGTTTCAAATAATTAAAATAAGCTTTACTTAGATAATTTAGATAATCACAAGTAGATGATAACAAATCTTTCCCAAATGTCGGCATTATCGCGATTGGCAATTAAGTAACTTTTTCCTGCGTTTTCAGCTGTCACGAACTTTCCATTAGCGTGTGATTTTAGAGCAACACCTTCCTTATTTGGAACTATCGTGAATGTCTCCCATGGTCCAGCTTGATCTCTATTAGCAATAAGTGGGAATTGTCCATTCTTTTCTGCGCAAACAAATTTGCCGTTTGCAAAAGATTTGAGTGTCAATGTTTGTGAATCACTAAAGCTAATTTCAAATGTTTCCCAAGGGCCTATTTGACCTCGGTTAGCACGTAATGATTGTTTTCCGGCCTTTTCAGCACATACAAATAAACCATTAACCAAAGCTTTTATTGCCACTTTATGCACTGATGGCCACACGTAGACCAAGCTGAACATTTCCCAGACGTCAAGAACATCGCGGTTAGCTGTAAGTGGTTTGTTTCCCGCTTCTTCAGCAGTAACTAATTTTGAATTGCCATGTGATTTAAATCCAAAGGTTCCGAAACTTGGAACTAAGGTGAAAGTCTCCCATACTGTAGCCTGGTCTTTATTGGCAATGAGCAGGTTAGTGTCAGTATTAACTGCAGTGACGAACTTTCCGTTTCCATAAGATTTTAGTGCAATTGTTTGAGTGTCGATAAAACAAATTTCAAAAGTTTCCCATAAGCCAAAAGAGTCTTTGTTGGCAATCAATGGTTGACTTCCGTTTTTTTCAGCACATACAAATTTTCCGTTGATAAGCGATTTTATAGCAACTGTGTAAACTTTTTTCCATTCTAAAAAATAATAATATGTTTGATATATTTTTAATATTGAGATAATCGTAAATGATTTAATGTATTTACTTATAAGTAAAAATAATTTTCAGAATTTTAAACTTTTTATTAATAAGAAAAAAAAAAATTTAAATAGAAAAAGAATTCGGCAACTAAACCTTTAAACCTCATTTAAATAATATTATCAATTAGAGAAAAAAGGTTATAAAAAACTATAACATCTAGAATCATTAGACCTGCATAATATATATATATATATATATATATATATATATATATATATATATATATATATATATATATATATATATATATATATATATATATATATATATATATATATATATATATATATATATATATATATATATATATATATATATATATTACGACTCTCAATGGGCATATGTCTTCCGCGGAACGACCGTCGCACGTCATACGGACGTCTTAACGTTTACCTCTGACGGATGTCCCTCGGACGACACGTGCCCACTGGATCATTGAATTTTTTTTTTATCTTAACTGCAAACAAACTGAGGATTTTATTTCGTTTATAATTATGAATTTCTTAATAAAATATATTATTTTATATAACTTATATATAAATATTATGAAATTTGTTTAATTTTCTTTTTTAAAAAATAGTATACAAAACTTATAAAATAATGCTGAACTTAAACTTTAGTCTATTCGTGCGTCTTTAAAACAAAACTCTCGGAATCCTTTTGAAGCCTACTGTCACTGAAGTTAGTGCTCTAAACCACTGAGCTACTGAATACAAAAACGTCTTGGTGTAACAAACACATTAACTTTTCATACTGACTTTTATAACTTTACACTAAGCGAATGCGCTAAATAAGCTTATTTATATTATAAATTATTTTTCTAAATTAGCTTTATTATTTTATTTATAGCAGCATTGCATTGGATTTTATAAAGAAATATTCAAAAGACAAAATATATATATTTTTTTCAAATAATATCAAAATCAAGTATAAAAATTGCATATATAAAGAAATTAAATTGAATTTTATTTATATTATAGCTACAAAATGTAAATATAAAAAACAATTTTAGTATTCAAATGTAAAAAATTTTTATAAGTTTATAGGAAAAAACATTTGTTTGCACTACTCGACAGTTAGATCTTATACTCGACAATTAAATTCCTGATAGTAAAGGATCGTGTATATTTTAAGAAAACGTTTAAAACATTTCTAACAATTAAAAATCTTTTTGCTTAAACAGTTTGTTTTTGAAATTTTGTTAGAATATTATTGTATTTAAAAAAATTGACAAGTTTAAAAAAAAATTCAACTAACACTTTCTAATCCATGAGGATTCGGAAACTTTGATAACTAAAACCATACAACTCAGAAAACCTCGCATCTAATAACCGAGCTATTTATGCTTACTCAAAAATATAAAATTAAAATCTCCAGGTTAAATAAAAACGATAATTATTAGTTTACCAATGAATTCACCAAAGTTTTTGCTTGTAACTTTATTGCTACAAATCAAGTCTAACAAATAAAACTAACTTATTTGGCATACCTAGCCCCCCGTGCGTAATTGCCCGTAAACTCTTCTATTCAGTCAAATAATTAATAAAATTAAAAATTTAGCTTTAAAGTATTGTTGAAAAGTAGCATTAAATAAAATGCAAAACTAAAACTTGAAACTTCCGTCCAAAGTAGTTGTATGATATGCTTACCTAATGTAGCTCGTTTTTCTTTTGCAAACAAGCTGGTAACCATCATGAACAATATGCATAGTTTCATTTTAGCTTTAAATTTCATGTATTCAACCTTTAACACTCACTCACAATCTGCTTGGAATAAGCCAAATAAATTTAACATAAGTTAAACTAAACTCGTGAAGAATTTATAGGTTTTAGTTAATCTCAAAAATAATGAAACTGTAATCGTAGCAATTATATAGGAAAAAACTTAAAATAAAAATATAATCATTATTACAATAAAAATATAAACATTAGAAAGAAAGTAATTTTATGACGTAAGTCATTGACGTAACGCAAAACAATGACGTGCTTTGCCTGGGAGATATTTAGCAAAAAAAAAAAAGAAGTAGCTAATATTTTTGTAATGATAACATTTTTTAATCAATAAATAGTTTAGCTGACTTTCTTCTTGCCATTCAAGAATATGCAAACATAAAACGAAATTAATGGCGGGAGCCGCCTATAAGATTTATCACCGAGCCCAATTTAAAATGGATTTTATACATGCGTAATATATAAAAAGTAATATTATAATATACAAAAAGAAAATATTTAGGAAATTAAAAAACAAAAAAAGTCATTAAAATGAAAACATATTTTGTTAAAAAGAAAAGCTGTTTAAAACTCTAAAAGGTTTTAGAATTAAAAACTCCAATCGTAAACGTTAGTTGCAACGTCTTTTTAACGATTGAGCAACTTTTTTATTATTAATTTCTGAACTTGAGCTTATGATGCAGATTTCGGTTAAAAATGTCTTTTTATCTTAAATTTTTTTTACATAACAACTACATTTTTAAAAACTTATTAATGAATAAATTAGTTTATGTAGTTTGTATATATCTTTGATTGAAAAACAGTAAAAAAAAGTGTTCCAACAAACATTGCCATTAAAGCGAGTTTGAACATTGGCATAATTTGATAATAATATTTGATAATAAATAATAAAATATACACTTTTTTATATTAAAACTTTATATATATATGAGCATAAATATGTATACTGCTTAATTTTTCCTATTTTTAAATTATTATTAAATTTTCCTATTTTTTTTTGCTCATTTATTTTTTTTGCTCTTCATTCTTTTGCTATTTTTTTTCGCTCATGTATTTTTTTTTGCTCTTCATTTTTTCGCAACTACGTGTCTGGTAAGAGTTGAAGAACATTTTTTTTAAATTTAATAAATAAGAAAAGCGACAACCAACTGTTTGTGTTAATGAAATTAATAAAAAACAAATCACTGTCAACAACTTGTACGCCCAAAAATTGATTTAACTGAAAGCATATGCTAAATAAAAAGACTCTTGATTTTTTTTCTAATTTAGCTTAACTTTTATAAAATCTAAAACTCATACTTTGAGCGATGATGGAAGGAATTTAATTGATGATTTAAAGTTTAAACATTATAATAAAACCAAATCACAATAATCCAACAATCTCCAATTTAAGAAGTGCACTCTTAATCATTTTACTTAAAGTGCCTCATGTGCAAAACCCTATAAAGCACATTTAAAGAAAGACCATGAAAATAACTACTTAGATGTTATCAAACTATTTTTTTCATATATTTTTTAATAAAAAATAGCAGTTTATAATACAAAAATCATAAGTATACATTGATGTGTACTCTTACGAGCATAATACAAAAGGGTAAAAGGAAGGAGGGGAAGAGTGGTCATAATAGAGCAAAGAGCCAAGGAATTTTCAAAATCTCAAAATAGAAGGTGAAAAGGACCTGATAAAAAGGTGAGTAGAAAAGTTTTCACAGAATTCAATCAAAACAGTTTGTTTCTTGTGTGGCCTACAGTCAAATGTGCAAAACATTATCAGGTGTTTTATAAAAAAGTCAATAGGATTTAATATGCCTAAATAAGTTTTATAATTTGTGAGAATTAAACTAAAATCTACTTTTTGACGATTCGAGATTTACGAATTTCTTTAAAGGTTGATGATTTTGAAAGGCTGGTTAGACTGGAAGAATTTATACTTATTACTGAATGACGCAAAAGTTTAATCCAATTTTAGTAAAGATGTTTTGTTGATTACAAGTAAAAATAATAAACGGACGGTTTTAATAAAGACTGGGTGGGTATGAAAAATTTTGAAAAACAAATGAACGTCTCAAACGTGTATTACAAGACTTCAGTTCTATAAATTTTTATTAGCAAATACTTAACTTTTACAATTTCCTTGATCCAACAACAAAAAAGTATGTTTTTAAATTCTTGAAACTTTTGTAACTGTTTGAATTAAAAAACGGTTTATTAGTAATAAGAAAAGCTCATAGTTTCAATTAATCCCGAGATCCGACTAACCACTGACCCACAAAGACCCAAATATTCAATAGTAAAGATTTTTTTTCCCTCTATTTTGTTGTTGTCTCGACAACAAAAAAATAGAGAGAAAAAAAATTATTGTTTAACGGCTGTCATAATAAAAAAGCTTTCTTATGTAGAATTGCATTACAATTGTCTTTTTAGTTTTCTATTTTTTGTAACAATATTTACTCCGATATTTTACATAATAACCTTTTTTTCTTATCACAGCAAACAAATAATAACTTTTATTTTCCTCTTTTTTGTAGTTGTCCAGAAAAAGTTCAATGCTCATTTATTGAATATATGGGTCTTTGTGGAGACCGTGTTTAGTTAGAACTTGGGACTTTTAAACCGACTAAGGAGTTTAATAATAAATTTTTACATCGACTAACGAGCAGTTGGTTAATAAAATTAAGTTACGAGGATTTGCAAAAATTAAAAACATACTGTTTTGTTGTTGGATCAAACAAATTGTTAAAATTAAGTGTTTGCTAAAGCTTTTAGAAAACTGTTTTATTTGGGGCTTAATACACGTTTATTTATTTTCGGAAAATTTTTCCAATCACCCAAGGGCTATAAGGACCCCCCTAAGGTTATAAAGAACCCACAAAGGTTATAAAGACCCCCTATGTAACATAAGACTAAAAGACAATAACGAAGCCAGAAACAAAACGTCTAAAAACAGTAAAAAACTTGCAATAGATAAGACTAGTGAGAAAACGCATCATCATCATCATATATATATATATATATATATATATATATATATATATATATATATATATATATATATATATATATATATATATATATATATATATATATATATATATATATATATATATATATATATATATATATATATGTAAATATATATATTTATTCAAAACCACTTCTGAGAGAAATGAAAGCTTTTCTAAATGTTTCAAATAGTTTATGTTTCATGTATAAATGTAAAAATTATTCATCTCCTGATGTATTTGTAAACCTTTATAATGAAAAACTCATAAACAAATACAATCTTCAAAATGGAAAAGAATCTTTCTGCCAAACTAAAATTGAACAACTAATTATTTCTTATCGCGGTCCTGATTTATGGAATAAAATGATTATGCCAAATTTTGATTTGTCCTTGAAATGGACTTTAACTTCTTTCAAACGAAAGTTAAAAGAAGTTATATTTTCAGCAGAAAATATTTTTTCTTGTTTTTAGTTCTTTTGTTTCATATGTTTTATATAATTTATTCAGTATATTTATATTTTAAATGCACAGTTATATATTGTTTATGTTGATTTATTTTCATCGAAGCATTTGATCTTATTGTTATTATTATTATATTTGATACTGTAAAGGGTTTCATGCTAAGATCGTATGATTATCTGGAAGTCCAGCCGACTATAGTTGTAATAAAGCTATTTCGTAATTATATCTTCTTTTATTGAAGGTCAATGAATTTATATATATATATATATATATATATATATATATATATATATATATATATGTATATATATATATATATATATATATATATATATATATATATATATATATATATATACATATATATATATATATATATATATATATATATATATATATATATATATATATATATATATATATATATATATATATATATATATATATATATATATATATATATATATATATATATATATATATATATATATATATATTTGTAATATGCAAAAGTGCAACTTTTTAAGTAAACTTAAAGTGTTTCATACTCAAATAAACCCTTATCTGTTCCGACAAGCTTCAATTTCAAGGTTTTTTTTTTTGTTTTTTTTTTTTCATTTCACATTTTTGCTGCTTTTTAAATCAAACATATATAGAAAACTAAGAAACTTAATTTACTCACTGATTGTGAATATTATGTTTTTAAGTATGTAGTAATAAAGTATTTGAAAAAAGATTTTAAAAGAATTTTGCATTACGACCACAAGTTCAAAAAAAAAATCTTAAAGACTATCATAGTTTTAAACAGATTTTTAATAACTTTGACGTTATAATTTTTATACAATTTAGTTATTATTAATTTTTTTCTTTTTTATTGCCTAAAAGTGTCCTTTTTAAGTAATTTATATGTTACGTATTTGAGAAATCCATTTTTAATTGGGTTTGGGTGATAAAGTTTTTTGATGGCTCCCGCCATTTATTTTGTTTTATGTTTGTATATTCTGATATGGCAAAATAAAAGAAAATTAAACTAAACCGATTATTGTTAAATCAAATTTCATCAATATAAAAACATTACCTTTTTTTTTTCTTTTTTTTTAATGCTAAGTATCACCTCAGGCAATGTACGTCATTGTTTTGCGTTACGTAAATGTTTTGCGTGATAAAAATATTTTCATGTATTTACTGTTTTTTCATGTTTTTGCTTATATAATTACTGCGATTACAGTTTCATTATTGTTGAGATTAAGTAAAACCTATAAATTCTTTATATTTTTATGATAACTTATTTTAAACATATTTGGCTCAATCCAAGCATATTGTGTGCGTGTTAAAGTACATTAAAGTTTTAGCTAAAATGAAACTATGCATAATGTTCATGATGGTTATCTGCATGTTTGCAAAAGAAAAACGAGCTACATTAGGTAAGCACGCAATACAACTACTTCCAAAGGAAGTTTAAAATAATAACTTCGCATTTAATTTAATGTTACTTTTTAACAGTAATTGAATGGTAAATTGTATTTTTATAAAATAGTTAACTGAATAAAGGCGGGTTTCCACTCATCCGTTTTTCAACGGGAACGGGGTAGGAAAGGAAAAAATAATCACGTGAGCATGCGTAATAAGAGTTTTTATTTGTCCGAAAGAAAACTGCGCATGCTCACGTGATTATTTTTCCGTTCCCTTTCCCTTTCCCGTAGAAAAACGGATGAGTGGAAACTCACCTTTAGAGTGTTTAGAAGCAATTACGCACAGGGAGCTAGATTTGCCAATTAATTTACCTTTATCTATTAGACTTTATTTGTAGCAAAAACCTTTTTAGTTAACAAAACATTTATTTAAGTTGTTCTTTAATATCGCTTTTAGCGGTTTATTAAATTATATTTATTATTATTTATATTATATATTTTGGCATGTAAAACTGTCATGAAGAGATGTTATAGGAATTCGTGGCAAACGAATAACTATCGTTTTAATTTTAATTAAAGAATTTAATTTGATATATCTATGTTAGATAATAATATAACAAGTAGCATAAAAAGTTTAGACATTTTTTTCCATCAAGATAGTATTCAGTAGCTCAGTAGTTAAAATCACTGACTTCACTGCTAATATAACTTTAACTCTTTGAATTTTAAACGAAGGTGAGAGCACCAAATAGATAAAATATTTTTTTAAATATTGTTAACTAAACTACAATTAATCGATAAAAATGAATTTCATAGAATAACTTCATAGCGTTTGAAAATCATGATAAAGTTTGAACCATTTCAATTTAATGCATTTAAGAATTTTGTGTGGTCAATTTTATTTTAAAATTAAAAAAAATTGTTCACTGAAATTTAAAATTTATCGATGAGTATTAAAATAGTTGAGAATAGCAATAAAAATATTTGATTAGCTTGTTGTTCTTACGTTTGGGTAAGTTTTCTTTTTTTATAACCAGGCTGCAATCATCGCAATACTTTGCAAAGCATTTTTGTTTGAAATAAGTACAGACATGTAAATATTTTTTATTTTACATAGCTATCTTCAAGACATGCTCCATGTCTAATAGCTATGTCAAATAAAAAAGCTTTTATTTACGGCTATGCAATCTTTTGCGTTTACAACTTACAGACAACTCGACAATCTAACGTCCAAATGCTATATTCGGGTGTTTTAAGTTTTTAACTATATTTCACTTATAGTTTTTTTTTTTCTCCAAATGGTATTATTGTTTAAGACAAGTATTTAGACTTGGTTACCATATTATTATTTTTTTATTAAGTTTTGGTTTTTTAGTAAATAAAAAAATTATTTTTCGTCAACTTTATATTATTTGTAAGTAAATACATTATATCATTTTCGATTATCTCAATATATTATACATTTTAATATGTTTTAGAATGGAAAAAAGTTTATACAGTCGCTATCAAATCGTTTACCAACGGGAAATTTGTATGTGCTGAAAATAACGGAAATGAACCATTGATTGCCAACAGGGACTCTATTGGTTTATGGGAAACTTTTGAAATTCGTTTCACTGACGCACAAACATTTGTATTAAAATCCCATGCAAACGAAAAATTTGTCACGGAAGTTAATAGCGAAAATAACTTGCTCATTGCCAATAAAGACCAGGCTACAGTATTTGAGACTTTCACCTTAGTTCCAAGATTCGGAACTTTTGGTTTTAAATCAAATGGTAATAAAAAATTAGTGACAGCTGAAGAAGCAGGAAAAAAACCACTTGCAGCTAACCGCAAAGTTCTTGACGTCTGGGAAATGTTTAATTTGGTCTTCGTGTGGCCTTCAGTACATAAAGTGGCGATAAAAGCATTAGTCAATGGTTTGTTTGTATGCGCTGAAAATGCCGGAAAGCAATCCTTAATTGCTAATAGAGGCCAAATAGGCCCTTGGGAAACATTTGTAATTAGCTTTACTGACCTCCAAACATTTACTCTTAAATCTTTTGCTAATGGCAAATTGGTTTGTGCAGAAAATAGTGGACAATTTCCCCTTATTGCAAACAGAGATCAAGCTGGACCATGGGAGACATTCACGATAGTTTCAAATAAGGAAGGTGTTGCGCTAAAATCACACGCTAATGGAAAATTTGTGACCGCTGAAAATGCAGGAAATGGTAACCTAATTGCTAATCGCGATAAGGCCGATATTTGGGAACGATTCGTTATAATTTACTTATGATTGACTTGAATATTTATGTTGAGCAAATTGTAATTTTAAGAAATAAAACATTGCTTTATTCGTGGTTTATTAAAAATGTTTTTTTAAATTTAGTTTTCAGTATAGTAAATGTTAAGCAACAGATAAATAGAAAACTGTTATTTTTATTCTTAATATTGTTATTATTGAGACTAATTTAGTTTTTGGTACAAATATTTCTATAAATGGAAAGTTAGTAATGTTTTATTATATGTTATAATAATTATAATGATCTTGGTACCAAGATATAGTTTCTTAAATATGAGCTGGTTAAAAAACCGTTTTATTTATCCCATATGTACATATGTATACGTAGGTATCTCATATAATAGAAATTATACTATCATACGTACGTAAAAGCTCAACTTTATATATCTTTTCATTTTTGTTTTACTTTTTGATCTTTATAATAACTAGAAAACGCATCTCCTATGAAAAATCTAAAATATTTGTAAACAAATATGTTGTTTATTTTAAATGTATCATAAGTCACCTTTTAAAAAAAAATCAAGTTTGATGACGTGATTATTTTAATTATCTTTTCTTTTGCGAAATAATTTAAACCGTTGTGAAGCGTTAAAAATTGTTGAGATATTTTGAAAAGACTTTTAAAATACAAATCTTTAAAAATCTCTTTTTAAAAACGAAACGAATTGAGCCACTTTCAAAATAAACGGCTCAAATGTTTTATGTGCTTTGCACAGCTCTTATAAAACATGAATATTATCATTTGGCAACATGATATTAAAAAAAACATATAAACCTCAACCTTAACGCACAAGTTTTCTATTGAAATTTTGCAACAGATCTTTAAAAGCAACAAAAGTAAAACTTGCGGAAAATCTTAGGACATTCTTAACATTTTTTCTTTATTCACGAGGTTAGAATTATTTTCTTTTTTCTCTACATTTTAGAATTTTGAGATAAAACAATTAAAAAAAAAAAACTTGAAAAGATTTATTGTTTTTAATTTTGATTGTTATATGTTATAATGTAACTTTGCTTTCAATATAGTAGAAAAACATTATTTTGAGGTAGAATAACACAAATACAAAATCAAATTTTTCAAAAAGTGGAGATAAAGCAAAATAAAAATAACCTTGCCTACTTGTCGCGGTTCTAACTGATCCGTGAGTAGTTTCGAGTAAACCGCTGTCAAAAATTGTTATATTATTTATATTTATTAATCATCCACTGTATATAATACAAGATATATTATTATAAAACTACATTTTTAAAAAGAAATAAGTTTATCTTGGAATATTTACTTTAAAGAATATTTTTGAAGATTTTCCTGTGCTATACAATTGAATTCCAGAACTCAACTGCAATGCTTAACCTTTGAAGATCTTTTTTAGGAATTATATATTTAAAGTTATGTATCTAACATAAAAATTTATTAGTATTAATTGATAATATTTTTCACCCACGATAATATAACCATTCAGGGTTAGTTAGGCCATTTGTATCACTATTTGTAACTAAAAAACGTTTCACTCTTCATTGAAAAATAAATACCCCCATAATGCAGTTAGAACCCTGTCATAGTGAAACAGTCATATCTTCACTATGACAAGGTTCTAACTGCTCTTATAACGGTAGTTAGAAACATTTTAGCTACTTTAAAATTTTGTTTTTGAAGTAGTTGATTACTTCTAAATTTTGCAACTGAAACAATAGTTTAATAAACGGTAATTATATAAAAAATTATATATATATATATATATATATATACAGAGACGTATTTAAGGAGGGTAAGGGGGGCTTTGGCCCCCGGGTGTTTTGACAGGGCGCCAGCTTTCAGAATGTTAGAATTTTAGAAAATTGTAAAATAGTCTATTTATATCATTTCACAAAAATTTTTATATTATTGTTATATTGAAATCATAGACCTACTTAAAGACTTACCAAATATCTCTAATTTTTTTTCAGAAAAATTTGCTTAGCAGAAAAAAATATTTCTTAAAGGGCGATCAAATTAAAAATTTTTATAATTAAAATTTCTATATTTATGCACTAATTATTCATCTAAAATCGTTGATTTAGTACTGAAATTCACGTGTCAAAACAAATTATTTATTAATTATAAATATATCAATTGTATGAAGCGGTAGCGTTATGGATAAGCTCATCATCTGGCGCTTTGAGATCTACTCCTACAATGGGTTTTACATATTATTTTCATTTTACGCTTATGTAAACTGAGTGGCGCAGAAAACCGAAAACGAACTCATGCAAAAAATGAAGCTCAAGCAAAAATACTTTTAAAGACTGCTAAGTTAGAATTTTAGCTCTACATATTTTACAATTTTTACAATTACAATTACAATTACAATTACAATTACAAATTTTAGCTTTTCAGATAAACAGCCTCACGCATCGCCAAGTAAGTTTATTTAGCTAGAAAACCATACGTTTTTTTAATTTTGCAAATATATTATACATATACGTACATATTGTCCTGTTATTTATTGTTTATACTTCTTATTGTTATTTATACTACATATTGTTATGCTATTTATTATTTAAAGTAAATAATTTATATCAAAAAATGTAGATATGTGTAGTAATCGTTATTTATGCTTTCAGTTGAAAATGTAGTAAGTAATACAAGCAATCAAAGTGATTTTTTTCATGGTAGGTTACAATTACAAACATGTACATAGCTAAACTAGTATTTAAGTTGCTTGTTAGGTAAAACTATGTAAGAAAAGAAAGTAATAATAAGTATAGTACACTATGTACATTTTAAACTATATCCTCTAGTTAAATTATATTATGCATTTATCTCTATTATCTAATGCTTGAATGTTTTTTGTAGAACTTTTTTTTATATAATTTTTTATAAACCGTGAATAATATTTTTTGGTTTTTGTATATTAAAAAATATATTTTCTCTTTAGAAATGATCCTGCAAATTCAATAAAAAATCAAGTGACGATAGATTATTTATCAATCAATGGATTTAACCGAACAATAGTTTCCAAAATTTCAAAAGAATTTATACTCAAATAATTGGTGGGGTAAGACGTACTAGTTTTCGATATTTGTCAAAAAGTATTTTTGTATCTACTCTTGTTAATGGCGAAAAAATTAACCGAACATTTTTCGTTTACTCAGAAGGTAAAGGATCAATATTTTGTGCTCCCTGCTATTTATTTGGTGGCACTACATTGTTTGCCACAGTTGGTTTTTCAGATTGGAAAAAAGGAGAAGAAAAAATCAAGCGTCATGAAAATTCACAACACCACAAATTGTGTGTAATGAATATGAAAGAAAGAAAAGGAGTATTAAATCGAGTTGATCAAAAGCTAAAGTATCAAGTAGAAACAGAAATAAATTATTCGAAAAATGTATAGACAAGAGTTGTAGCTGTTGTGAAATCCCTTTCTACTCGTGGAATGTCTTTTAGAGGTGATGATGATCGTTTTGGATCTGTTCATAAAGGAAACTTCACGATGAGCTTAGAGCTTATTGTTCAGTTTGATTCTTTTTTAGCACAACACATTGAAAAGTTTGAAAATAAAGGAAAAGGTTCAACATCGTACCTATCATTTAATATATATGAGCAGTACAAGTATAATGGTAGATAATGTGAAAGAAATGGTGAAAGAAATAAAGGAAGCTAAATACTTTTCCGTAAGTATTGATTCTACTCCTGACATTAGCCATGTAGATCAACTGTCGTTCATTTTTCGGTATGTTCAAAAGAATGACAGTCCGGTAGAAAGATTTTTAGGGTTTTTACCCAATTCTGGTCATAAATCTAAATAATTAGCAGATGCTTTATTTTTAGTTTTAGAATTGCATGGATTAGATAATAGCAGTTGTCGTGATCAAAGTTACGACAATGCGTCTAATATGTCTGGTAGATACACAGGACTTTAAGCTCGCATTAAAAAGTCCTTTAGCAACATTTGTTCCATGCTCAGTGCACTCTTTAAATCTTGTTGGTGAATGCGCTGTATTTATGCTTCTAAATTTTTTATTCTGCTTCAAAATATTTACAAATTTTTCAGTCCCTCCACTTATAGATGAGAAATACTTCAGAAGAATTTGAATAAAACAGAAAACGTATCACTTAAAAAACTATCCGATACCAGGTAGTCAGCAAGATCTGATGCATTTATTAGTTTAAACAAAAATTGGATTGAAATAATTATTGCACTGTCTTTTATCAAAGATGATAAAACAGAAAAATTAGATCAGAAGCTAACTGGCTATATTTAAAACTAGATATAATAAACAGCTATAATGCTACATTATGGGGCGATATACTAGAAAGATTCAACAAAACTAGTAAACAATTGCAGTCAGTTGAGATTAATTTAGAAACAGTTGTAAGTTTATACGAATCTTTATTTCGATATGTATTAAATTTAACGAGTATGTTTCATATCTATGAAGAGAGAGCAATAATTAAGTCAGGGCACAAAACACATCAAAAAATACGCAATAGAAAAAGAAAACTGACTGCAGATGAAAAAAAAGAAGAAGAAACAAATTTTCAAATTCGAGACTCTTTAAAATTTAATACATCTTATGCTATAATTGGTAAACTTCATTCTGAACTAGAAAGAAGAAAATTTTGCTATGATGAAGCCAATACAAAATTCAACTTTTTATTTCAAATCATAAAACTTTCGCCATCAGAAGTTTACAAAAAAGCGGAAGTACTTCAAAATATTTATATAAAAATCTATTGTCTTCATTTCTTAACAAGTGTATACAGTTCAGAAGTTATTTAATGAGTTTAACTGAAAACGTAAGACCTAGTATAAAAGATATTTATAAAATGATCAGAACTGTAAAACTTCAAGAGCTGTTTCCTTATGTAGATATAGCATTAAGAATATATCTATGCTGCCCAACGTCCAATCGTTCAGCCGAGAGATCGTTTTCGGCATTAAAGAGGGTTAAATCTTAATTGAGGTCGCGAATGATAAGTGATCGTCTTAATAGGTTAGCAATTCTATCTATAGAATCTGCACTTACCATAGATATGAACTTTAGCAACTGTTAAGCATCTTAACTCTTCTTAATTAATTCTTATTTTTTATTTTTTTTATTATATTAGTTATTTTCTATTTCATTTCTAATTGTTTCTTTTATATATATATATATTTGTATGTTACGGTTATGTAGAATTTTTAATGGGGCTCGGCGATAAGGCGAAAAGTGCCTTCTTCTTGCTCCAGCCATCAATTTATATAAATGTATATGCAATGTAAACATTTTTTAACGGCGAAATAAATTACACTAAAAAAAAAAAAAAAAAAAAAAAAACTTTAATGACGTTATAAATACATTTGCAAAACAAACTCACATAGAAAATTATAACTTTCTATAGTGATTAACATAACTGAATATATGTTTGTATAGAAAATCTTTTTGTTTTTTAATAATCACCCCATATAAAAGTTAGCAGTTTCGCTTAAAAAAGGGCGCTTAAAGGATCAGTGCCCCTCGGCGCCAAAAAATCAAAATATCTCTGTATATATATATATATATATATATATATATATATATATATATATATATAAATAAATAAAAATATTAAAAATATGTTTTTTTATATATAAATAAAAAAAAACATATTTTTAATGAAAGCTGTAGGATCCCCAATATTTTTTTAACATAATTGAATAAATAAAAAACTTGAAAAGTAAAATATTTTTATCTTCTTTGATGTAAAAACTTTTGTATCTTTTTTTTTAGTTTTTTTCGCCTTTTACTATAAATAAAATTTTTATATACACACATATACAATAAAATAAATAGGTTCAGCAAGAAGAAGATAAGTTTTCTCATCACTGAGGTCCATTTTTATAAAATCGAAATTTACAAATATTTTATTTTAAGACGTAAATATATGAACTAAAAGGTATTACATTGTATTGTTTTATATAAGTTTTAATACCTAAACAAGCAATTAGTAATTGCTTCTTTAGGTATTAAATAAGCAATTACTAATTGCTAATTTGATACCTAAGCTGCCTTCATTTTCTACAGTAACAAAAAAAAGCAAATTTTTTTTTTTTTTTTTTTTTTAACATCTTCGCTCCCAAAAAGGCTGCAAGCAACCACTAACTAGTGTTGGAAGTCACTGGAAGAGAAAAGATGAAGATTGTAGAGCAAGATAACGATTGACAGACGACTTAAAAGATTGCAAGTTATATGAATCAGGAAAGCAAGATGAAGGAAGCAAATTCTAAAGATGTTTCTAGAATTCTAAGAATTAAAGAATTCTAAAGAATTCTAAAAACTGATGTTCGAGGAAAAAAACTAGACGAATAAGAGTTTTTGGAGCACTTAGGAACAGTAACAGAAAAAGGATGAGACTTAATTGAATGACGAGTAACTCAAGAATGAATTTTAGTCGATGACGCAAGAGACGCTAGGTCTTTAGAGCAGTGTCCCATTAAAGTATTTATAGAAAAGAGAAAGAGAAGCAACATTACGGCGAAGTGACAAAGGTTGAAGGTTGGCTGCAATATAAATTTTGCATACATACACATACCATTCTGAGAGAGAGGTAATATCATTAATAAACTTTATTATACGGATTTTGATAACAAATTTTTTTTTCAATTTATCTTAACTTTTTTATTTAAGTCTAACCTTGTTTAAAATAAACATTAAAAATCAAGCATATCGTAACCAATAAAAAAACCGTTTAGATTTTATATTAAATAGATGTCTGAGAATATTTTTTATAGATATGACCCACGACACTTAATTAAGTATGACTTCAATTTAAAACTATATTTTTGAACAACTATGTTGTTTTTTGAGAATCTTGTAGTGTATTAATGATAGATTTAACTAAAACAGGATTCAAAATATTTGATGTACATGGATTTTATAAATATTTAAAGCTCCAAGTAAACACAAGAAAGGTCGGCGAGGATCTTCTTTCGTAGCACCAATTGCAAATTGACATGTGTGTTTTTGTTTAGTGTAAAATTGTTTAAATTTTGAATTATTAGACTTGCCCAAGCAATATTACAGTATGTTAGATAACTATGAACAAAGCAACATTACAGTATGTTAGATAACTTTGAACAAAAGCAGAGAATAAATATTTAAGTGACATTCCAATTGTTTTTGAAATTTATTTTTCAGATTAAATTTCAAAAACTTTTATCTAACTGCACGCCTAATAGATTTCCTTTAATAATAGTTTTCTTTATAATAAGATTTGGTAATTTCTATAGGATGTTATCAGTTTTATTTGATTTATGGAATAACATAAATTTAGTTTTGTCAGCATTCAGAAAAAGTTTTTTTCTTAAAAACCACTCAAAAAGTTTTTCTAATTGTTCATTAACGTGTTTAAAAATTATTTTAACATCTTTTCGTGAATAAAGTAATTAAAATCATTACCAAATAGAATTAACTTTAAAAGACTTGATAATAAATATAGATCGTACAGTAAAAAAATGTTATGTACAGTAAAAAAAATAATGACCCAAACGAGAACCCTTAGGAACCCCACAAGTTATTGAGTGTTTACTAGTTACTTTTGAATCATAGCATATTAATTATTTTATGTTTGTTAGTTTTTGAATCAAAGTAAGTTTTTGTTTCTAATACCATAGTTTTAATGTTTAGTTAGCAGTATATCATGGTTTATTGTATTAAAGGCTTTAGACAGATAAACAAAAACTCCTAATGTAAAATAATCGTTGTTGAAAGGTTCAGATTGTTGTTCTGCTAGTAAATCTCATTGACCTGCTCGACTACGACATATTTAGTTGCATCTCAACTTAGTTAAGCTAATAAATGCAACATTAGTACCCACAAATCTAAATTAGAATCACAACAACAACAGTACCCACAAATCTAAATTAGAACCACTTTACCTACGTCAAAAACACGCTTCAAGACTAGTATACAACAAAAATAAATTTGCTCATGCTCAACCCTTATTGGAACAAATAAACGCACTAAATATATTTCAAATAAATATTTTTCAATATATACTTTTCATTTTTAAATATAAACTAAATCAGGTTCCAGAGCATTTTACAGCACACTTTTTTAAAAACAATATAAATAAATACAATACAAGAGCAAAAGGAAACCTTAAGATACCGTTTGAAACAACAAAACTCTTAAAATTCTCAATTACATATCGTGGTTCCTTTTTATTTCACAAATTAGTTTCCAGAAACGAATCACTATGAAACCTAAACAACGAACAATTTCTGAAAATAAAGCTGAAATCTACAATAATCAAATTAAACAACTATAAAGAATTTCTTTTAAATATTAATAAAAAATTTAAAAAAATGTAGCTTAACTTTTAAAACAAATCGATAAAAAAAAATATATATATACAAGGTATCAATGTACAACATACATATATACGACGTATACAACTAATTTTTATGTGTATTACACGTTCAGAAAAAGGTACTCGATGACAAGACTGACTTAAGTCTTCTGCGAGCTTCCCATAACTACTAACAAGTAATTCTTCTTATCAATCTTACACAAATTTTGTTTTTATTATGTTTATACACAAACATTAGTTTGAAATGTGGTAAATAAACTTATAGTCAAACATCTAAACACTTCTCCGAAAAATCAGCTAATTAATTTTTATTTATTGTATTATTTTATTTTAGCTGGAATAATATAGAGATATATTGATCGGATTATTTTTACGTGCACTTTATTTCATTGTTGTAATTAGTGTTTATTTTAATCGTGTCTCAGAGTTGTATGCAAATATATTTTTGTTTACTTTATATATTTTGTACTTTATGTTTATGATATTTATGTTTGTATATTTTTACCACCAATCTCTGATTGGTTACTTGTTAATATTTTGTAGTTGTAAAATAAACATGTGAAAAAAAAAATAAACATAATAAGCTATCCGCTGAAAATTCTTATACCCAGTAGACAAGACGTAAAAAAGACGTCTTTTAAACGTCTTATACACGTTTTAGACGTCTTTTGAACGTTCAAAAGACGTCTTTTTTTTGGTCCAGTGCCCACTGGGTAATATTCATCAAACTTTTAGGTAAAGTTTTATAATTATATTTTTTTTATATTTTTATTTTTATTTTTTTTTATAATGGTGCCCCAAGAAGCCTTTACGGTCCTATCACAGAGCAGATGAGCATTTAATTGGAAGTTCACGCCTTCTTCCTAACTGATGTCGCAAAACTTGACCAGTGATGGTGTTTGAACCACGGATCCTTTGTTTATGTAGCAAACGCGTCTCAAGTGTAGTTGATTGTAAATTGATTAAATTATACAACGCATAATTTATTTAAAAATCAGATGTAGGAGATCTTAAGCACATTTACGCGGTAATTTTTATTTAACTTATTTATTTTGATTTTTCATTCAATTTATGACTTATGATGGCAAACTTATGAAAGAAAACTTTTGATCTTTTTTGTTTTGTTTACGAAATAAAAATATTAAATTTTTACGTTGCGTAAATTTGGACGATCCCTTTACAAACCTTTTTTTCGAATTTTTAAACGGGTACAAATATTTTAATCACCAAGCGGGTCAAGCAACGAGCACTGATTAAAGTTAATTTTATTAAAAGATTATTTTATTTTTAGAACTATTAAAAATGGAGAACATAATGTTTTTTTTTTATACATGCATATAACTTTTTAGCTTGTTAATGATTAGAGAAAATTAGATAAAAGTTCAAAGTTAAATCTATTCAACTTGCTATGACATTTTCGTTAATACCTTGTGGCTAAAATTTACGTCACAATCGAACAATCGGTATTAAATTACCTTCACACATTTTATGTGAGTCGTACTCGCACCAGACTTCTGTTTTATAGCAGGTAAGGTATTAGCTCCCATTTTTATTTTTAAAAAGTTGAAAACTAAAATGAAAGTATTTTTACTTGCTTTGTTTTTTTTACTTTTTTTTTTAAAAAAGTTTCATGTTGTTTGCTAAATAAATATTGTTAAAAAATCAAATTGTTAATAATTTATTGCAAATTACCTTGCTTATTAAATGGATAAGTTACACATTTTTGTTAATGAAACAAAAAAATTACATAAAGATGATGAAAAATAAAGTTAACTTATTTGATTTATTTAGCTCCCTCAACCTGTTTTACGAGTCTTCATTTTTGTTTTGTAAAAAAAAAAGAGTCAAAACCCTCTAATAAGCACTAAGTGTGCGTAAAAATTGCCCATTTTTCTTTTCTTTTACTATTTTAAAAATTTTAGAAAACGGTGAGCACAAAATTGTAATTTTTTTTAATTTAAAAAAAAATGAAAATAATAATAAAAATTACAAGTCTGCTTATTTCAAAAAGAAATAAAAAAAATTTGGTATGGTCATACTAGTCACCAGGTTTTGAGTTTTCGATTTAGTAAACTAATTTAAATTTCAAAAAGTAATTCTAGAAAATTGCCCGTTAGCAACCGTTGTTATAGTTATCACAAAATAAACAACCATTGTAACCCATGAAATATGAACAGTTTACTTTTTTTGAGCGTAGATATTTATTTTTTTAGATTCCTCATAAAAATTTTGTCGCTACTTTACTAATATTATAAAATCGAAAAAAAATAACAAATTTTTACTTATTTAATGGTGGAGAAGTATTTTTAATACCGCCTCGAAAGCAATATTAAAAAATTTTATGATTTCAAAATGAAGCAATTCCTTTATTTAACAAGCCGTATAGAATTAACTTATAATATTATTCAATTACGACCAATGAAACTTTCTATAAAAGCATATTAAAACTTATTTGACGACTTTATGGATAACAAATACAATAACTTATATAAAAACTTAAAATAAAAATATAAATAAAATAAAATAAATAGTACAATGACGTCTACTAACAAATACAATGACGTCTACTAAAGTTGTTTAAAGATTTAATGTAACGATAATTATAAAAAAATTAATGAATTTGGTCAAAACAATCACCATCAGCAATATAACTGTCATTTATTAAACAAGTTGCTACGATACAATTCGTACATAACATTGCAATAAAAATAAACATAGGTACACTAATCTTAAGTAACTTTGTGTAACTTATATATTCGCTAGTTCATCCATTTTGCTATTTTTAATTCAATTTTGATACAAGCAAAAATATATTTTTTTGTTCACGATTTAAAGATATATAAACAATAATGGCACTCTACAAAAAGCGTTCCACCAAATGTATTTGTACAGATATATACAGATATATACCATGTATTACCTCAACTATCATTTGCTAAATTTTTGCTAAAAGTGCCAAGCTTAAGTAAATTCATGGTGTTACATTAGAATGTTCAGAAAAAAAATTAAAGCAACCTCCCCACTTAGGAGAGAGTGTAAATTCTACATAAATATTGTTTTTGAACAACAAAAAATTAGTTTATAATTTTAAAACCTATTGAAAAATTTAAATTCAGTTTTAGATATATGCATAAAAAAGAAAGTATAATATTTCCCAGTGGGCACCGGACCTAAATAGACGTTTAAAAGACGTTCAAAAGACGTCTAAAACGATTATAAGACGTTTAAAAGACGTCTTTTTTACGTCTGAGCCCACTGGTTTGTTCCCACAATTGGGGTAGGGGTGACAGTCGTTTTAAGTTACTTTTTTTTTAGGCTCAAACCAAAATAATTTTATCTTTTTAATCTATTTATAACCAGTTGCAGTTATACGTATATTAAACATACATTAAGAAATTTAAATATGAAGTGATAAATTTTTTACGTCTTAAAATTAATAGTTGTTTAAACTGTCTCATCTTAGTTTTTAGATAAAACAAAAAATACATTTATACAAAAAAACTGAAAAAATTAAACAACTGATAACTATGCCTTCCAAATAGTCTACTTTTTCTGAATCTCCCAATGTATATTTTCACTCTAGTTAACCCTGAATTCCAGACTTTCTCTATGCTCTGAATTCCAGACTTTCTCTATGCTCGGTTACAAATTGAATATTTTTGATACGGTTTTACTAGGAAAAAAAAAAGTTTTTTATAGCCAAAACCATCATAGACGGAAAATAGGAAAGAGTTTAAGTGCCAATATGATTTTTGATATAAATTTATTATTGGTATTTTAAAACTATATATGGAAAAAAGACCCAAAAGAACCTGAACCAATTGTCGCCTCCAACTAAATGTTTGTTGCTTAAATGTAAGTTTTACTTTTTCTATATCACTATATTAAAAAATATCCCTTGTATTTATTAAGTAAATTCACTTATAATATACAATTCTTTGTTTAATATAAGTAACTTTACTTATTAAAAACATATTAATTTTAATCGTAACTAAATTTTATATAAAATGTAAGTTTATGCAATTTAAATTAATTCAAATAATTTTAGCAAATGTAAATAAAATTAGGTAGAATTTTTTATGTAATTCATTTTCATATACAAGTTTCTTTTATAATTATGGCAATATAATAATTTTTTTTTTTAAACGTTAAAGTAAAAATACATTTTACGGAACAATTATTATATTTTATGTAATTTTAAAAAAGTTTTCTACTTTTAAATGTAAAATTAAAGTGTTTCTTGGTGTAACTTACCTTTACACACAATAGTAAATTCCTATTTCATACCTACTTTTACATAACATAAATTTGAAAATAAGTTCTCTTTTATTTATAAGAAAAAAGTCTTTTTAAAAAATTAATTACATTTACTCAATTGTAACTTTACTGCGGACGATAATTTCCTTTTTCATAAAAAAACTTACACTAGTAAGTAATGAAATGAGTAATGATTATGTCGCTATGACGTCAAACAAAAACAATTGCATAAGGAGTCATGTTTAACGGGGTGAAAACATTTCCTAGAGTCAAAGGATATCTTCAATGAAATTTTGATAAGAGTGTTATAAGAAAATCATTATGAAGACAAAAACGTGATGTAATATTTTTATCATTGAAGAGATGTGTAATAATATATAAGTCGTGCATTATTACGGCATCGTTTCATTATTTTTCAAATAAAAACTGATTTGCATTAGACTGTTGTGCAGAAAAATTATGCGTAATTTCATTTTGTTATATAAAATTAAACTACGCAAAAAAGTTGGTAGATTGGTAAATAAATAAAAGAAGCATAAAGTTGCTTAGATTTGATAATAAAAATGCTAAAAACATGTTTTTATTAAAAATGTTCAAACAACGGTAACGGTAGGACAATGATATAAAGTTCTATTTTATCTCTAATTTTACTTATCTCTTTCCTTTACTCAAACTTTTAAATTTCAATTATATGCAACTTTTTTGCATAAATTGACTGCTAAACTGTTTATAAGGAAGTCTAAGTTTCTTTTTTACGGAAAATATGTCATTGTGTTATCATTAATATTAAATTTTTACAGTTATAAACTTACATGAATTATAAATATACAAATTACATCACAAACTTTCCATTCAACAAATGTAAAACTAAAACATTTCACTAAAGAGGTATCTTACTAATTAGCAATAACTTATCATTTGCTATAGTTCAGTGACCCGGTGGAAAGTTGGCTTGCGACTGGCTAGCTTTAATCGTAACAATAAAGACAGCGATTTGGCCACGAGGATTGCTAGCTTTTTCAAGTCAGCGTAAAGCTATTGATATTTGTAAAGATAAAGACAGCGATTTGGCTACAAGGAAGGATAGCCTATTAAGGTTAAGACCCACTGGCTTTTGTAGCTAACGTCATGTCGTGAAAAAATAGCTGTCAGTAAAATTTTTATATGTAGGTATCAACCAGCTATAGATTTGTAGATATTTTACTGCTAGCTACAACGCTACAACATTTAGCTAGCGACACAGTGCTACAAAATTGCAATGTTTAAAGTTCATATATTCTTATAATTATAATAGATTTAACACTAAAAATCGATTTTTTAATGATGTTAAAGACATTAGGAAAAAATAAAATAAGAAAAAAAAAAATTGCTTGAAAATCGCTATAAGGCTAGCTAGTCTCCAGCTCATTTCCCACCGGGTAGGTACTATTGTAAGATATTGTTTTAGTTGCAGATATTACAAAAAACTTTACAACTGAAATTCTTCCATCATGGCACAAAAATCTGAGAAAGACGTTAGTGATTATATTTCTACCTATTTATTAGAAAAATAAATTTTACAAGAAGCGTAAAGATATGACTTTATAAAAGTCTTTTTTATTTGCTAAGAGAAAGAAAAAGTATAAATACAGATCCTTTACAGTAACGGTCGTTTATTTATTAGAAAAAAAACAGAAAGTTTATATACGAAAGCCAAATAAGATTTTATAATTTGAAAAAATTAAAAAATAGCTACGGTCCCAAACAATAGAATAGAATTTAATTAAACTATCAGTTATTTGTAAATTTAGTTCTAGGTCTTAATAAGTTTTCCTAATATCAAATAAATTTCCTAAAAATCTAATAAAAATGTTTTGTGCTAAATTTGAAATAAAATAACAAGCTTAACTTATAAACATTACTAAAGTAATAGTTATAAGAAACATAATAATAAAATTGATAAAATAAAAAAATTGTTTTGAAAGTGAAATCAGTATGATGGTAAGTTACTTTTATACATAGTCTGTTATTGCAAAGCAAAAAATATCCTTGTATGAAAAATATTTAATCACACAAAAAGATTTTTGTAATGTTTTTATAATTGTATGAGTTTTTTTTGCTATTTATTTGAACTGGTCATATAAAGCGCTCTACCTGACAATTTTTTTTTCAGAAGATAACTGATTAGAAATTTTCAGAAGAAAACTGATTCAGAAGAAAACTGATTCAGAAAAAAACTGATTCAGAAGATAAGTGATTCAGAAGAAAATAGATAAGATGTTTTTATTAACTTTAATCAATAAACGACATTTAATTGGTATAAAAAAAATGTCTCATATAATTTTGAATTTAATTATAAAGTTTATTGTTAAATTAAAATATTATTTACTTTATATTGAGTGTTTATTTTAAGTTTTTTTTTTTTATTCAAATAAGATAAATAACAGATATTGTAATAAAATGTTGTAATAAAATAAATAACATATATTGTAATAAAAGCTTTCATTGAAGTTATAATTGAACTTTAATTACTTTAGTTTTCTTCTTTAGTGGAATCTTTAGTTTTCTTCTTTAGTGGAATCTTTAGTTTTCTTCTTTAGTGGAATCTTTAATTTTCTTATTTAGTGGAATCTTCTTTTCTGTGTTGATAAAAAGTTATAAATAGTCTAGTTATCAGTTAAAATATACTTAAAATCGAGTGCAAAAAATATAAAGTTTTTAGCAGAGTTTTTGCACAGTTTTAGAAAAAAAAACTTTTCTTAATTAAAACAGTTACAAAAGAAATTTTTGCTTCAAACGAACAGTTATTAAGTTCAATCATTTTCCTTGGCCCAATAAATATATTGAGTTATATTTTTAAATATATTTGAAATTTTTGTATACAAAATGTTTTCAAATAAATGTTAATAATTATTGTTTAGGTATCATTACAAAGTCTTCACATGGCCCAGGAAATTATTTTTTTTAACTCTTTTGAAGATGTTCACGAACTATATATTATGATGGTTGCAGATACTCTATCTTGATTAAACATTGAAGGGTTAAAAATGGATTGATTGAATGACTGTAATAAACTATTCTGATGATGTGGTGGATATTCATTCCCTTCACAAAGGCAAGTTTTAAAGTTTTTCATTCTTTTCAATTGACAATAAAAAAAAAAAATTTAAATTTCATTTACTCTGATTTTTAATTTTTTAAAAAGTTTATTTTTGTGAAAACTTTTTTATTTTAATTTATAACAGAAGTTGAAAAAGTTTACAGAAATATCCCAGTGGGCACCGGACCAAAAAAGACGTCTTTTGAACGTTCAAAAGACGTCTGAAACGTCTTTTTTAAGTCTTTTCCTACTAGGATTGTTGATCTTTTAATAAGCTTTGAGTTTAATATTAGTTAAAAAAGAGTCAGAAAAGAGTTTAATCTGAATGGTTTTTTAATACGAAAACTTTGTTTATTTTAACTCTGTTTATAAAACTGTATTTACAACTTTTAGACAGAAACAAAAATTCTCGAGGACGTAATTATATTCAAAAATAGCTTATGACTAGCAGTAATAAATTACATTAATTAACTTTAATTATATTATGACAAAAATATTTATAAACGTAACAATAAAGTTTTATGACAATCAGCCATTATTACATCACCCCAAGAACAAGAGTTCTTATACAGCAAAATCCAAGATTAAGAATTTTTGTTCTTATTTTAAGAATTTTTGTTCTTATTTTAAGAATTTTTGTTCTTATTTTAAGAATTTTTGTTCTTATTTTATAAATTTTTGGTCTTATTTTAAGAAATTTTGTTCTTATTTTAAGAATTTTTGTTCTTATTTTAAGAATTTTTGTTCTTATTTTATAAATTTTTGTTCTTATTTTAAGAAATTTTGTTCTTATTTTAAGAATTTTTGTTCTTATTTTAAGAATTTTTGTTCTTTTTTTAAGAATTTTTGTTCTTATTTTAAGAATTTTTGTTCTTATTTTAAGAATTTTTGTTCTTATTTTAAGAATTTTTGTTACCCGTATGAAACTGAACGCTTTTTACAGAAAAAAAGTTTTTTTTAAGACATAAGGAATATAAACATACAAAAAATTATTTTAAATTTATAATAAACCACTAAAATATACGAGGTGCAATTTAGCAATTGAGGTGGATGTGGTGGTAATGGTTTGATACACCCTAGTATCGAAAACGTATTGATTTTATAAATATTTATATCTTTGCTAAAATGAGTAAAATTAGTATAAAACATAAAGTTATGTTATACAATTTCTTACGTATATAAGTGATGTTTCTATAACAGTAGGGACGTTGTCCCCTCTTTACCCAATCTAAAAAAAAATGCAATTACTGTTTTTAAAATTTGATTATTAAACTAAAAAATAAAAAAATATTAAATTTAAATTAAATTAAAAATTAATTTCATATCAGACAAACACAAATATGTGAGATTAATGTAAAACTCATAGCAGATATGTTGATGATGTTTTAGTTCTATATTATCAAAAATTGTTTAAATTCTTGAAATATCTGATTGAATGTTTAAAGTACAACAACAAAGAAGTAAAAAACATAATCCACTAGATTAAAAAATACATTAGTGGTGCATCCATGGTCGTAAGAGAGTGGAGTTTAATGGAGGGCGTATCTAAATATGTCACAAGGGAAAAGGCATTCTAATGCTTCTCTTCCGGCTCTAACCAAAAATTATTGTTCAATTATATATATATATTACTAAAAAAATTATACAACTACTATTGTGGGGCTATAAATAAAAGTCAATCGGCTGTAAAAAACGTGTCACCTTTATAACCAAGTATGGCAGATACCTATATTAAAGCCTTTCATGTTTATTATTACATTAACAAAAGCAAGGACCATACAGTATGTTTAACGAGCTAGCGATTTTAATTGATTAACAAACAAATTTCCTGTTTCAAAATAAATAATAAATAAAATGTTAACTTAAAAAAAGTAGTACTTTATAATTATTTTAAAGATAATTTGTTATTTTTTTGTCTTGGTTTTAAGTAAATGATCAAAATTATTAATTCCAGTAATAAAAGTATATTTTAAGTACTTTTAACGATAGACACCACGTGAAGGTAAGCCAGAGCCGTCTATCAAAAGATTTAGCAAGTCACAACACTTATAATTTAGGCTATATAATTTAGGCAAGTCGCAACACTAGCTGTATTATTTATGCAAGTCACAATACTTGCAATACATTTTGGCAAGTCACAACACTTGCAATGTTATAAAATAAATTATATTGTAACTTATCGGAAACAACATCAGCAGCAAGCTGGATCTTTTTCATGCGTAGTCAACAGCTTTAATATCAGTTTCATCATATTTTCAGTAAGAGATAGTGTAAATGAAGTCATTTTTTCTTTTAACAATATTTTATACTCTGCCGCTATATAAAACACTTTTGTATGTTTTAGATCGTGCTACTCCTGTTCTAGTTTCTTCCCAACAATTCTATCTGACATGACATCTTTTAAATAAATGGTCGTTGGACAATTTTAAATCAATGGTCGTTGGGCAATTGCTTATATGAATTAATAATTTCGTTAAAACTCAATTTGGATAGCTTGCGTTCTAACTTTCTTTTTTCTTTTTCATTCATTTTTGGCGCTTGATAAAATAGTTTGCCATAGACAAAAGTCTTTGGCAAATCTCATCTTTTATTTTGCATTGATGCAGTCGATTTGTAAATCTTTTTTTACGTGCTACATTAATTAACCATTTAACAATCTTTTCTCTTAAACTTAAATCTAGTGTCTAAATAGCTGACAGTACTATTCCTTTTTGATCATAGTTTGCAAGAGATATAGCAAATTGTTGCATTAGAAGCCCGTACTTTTGCATCACTAAACATACCCATTAATTCTTTACTCTCGATATTGTGAAGCCTTGCATTAGCTCTTTCCTCTTTAAATGTATCCGTCACAGTAAGTGAAAAACATTTTTAGAAACTCTTCATCAAAGGATCATAAAATTGTTACTGATTCTAAATTATTTGGCTCTAGCAGCTTTTCAAAAAAAGTCTTTTTGCAAAATAAACCAGCTCGATTGGATTTGCAAATTTGAATTGTTTGTATAATATTTTTCACAACCTGGATACCAGCAACATGATCAAAAGTTGCATGCTCTGATGTTACATTAAACATTTTTATCCAGGGTCCAGTCCAAGTTTTCCAAATACCTGCAGTATTTGTGCATACACCTTTGTTTGATCGTGGTTGCACTACAAAATACTGTTCAAAGAGTTGCTGGTAAACCTTTGCACTTTACTGTTCCAATTGTAAGATATTGTTTAAATTTAATGTGATACTTTATTAAAATAAAATAAGTATGGAAAATAATGTGAAGCATGTTTCCACGATACCTAGAAATGAAACCTCGTGGTAATTCATTGTTATCTAAAAATTTAATTCATATCTTATTCATATTATGAATATGATATGTGATACTATTTGAAACCTTTATTTTCTTTCTCCATTTTATTTTTAAATGAAATAAAAAATCTAAGTCCTATTTAATTATTTACTAAAAATCGTTTTATCAGATAACATCTTTTAGATTTAAATACTTTTTAACTATATTTTTACTATAAAACATTTGCGTTTATAATATCGATTTATGATATAAGTCAAATATTGCTAATATGAATGCTATATATATATATATATATATATATATATATATATATATATATATATATATATATATATATATATATATATATATATATATATATATATATATATATATATATATATATATATATATATATATATATATATATATATATATATATATATATATATATATATATATATATGTTTATATATATATATATATATATATATATATATATAATATATATATATATATATATATATAATATATATTATAATATATATATATATATATATATATATATATATATATATATATATATATATATATATATATATATATATATATATATATATATAATATATATATAAATATTATATACATATATATATATATATATATATATATATATATATATATATATATATATATATATATATATATATATATATATATATATATATATATATATATATTGCGGGGCCCGGGGCTATAGTCCCCCTAGCTCCCCTCCCTTGATCCGGCACTGCATAAATATCAATAATATTAAGATTTTAAAATATCAATAATTTTAAGATAGTGGCATTTTGGTTTGAATCGAATACTAAAATATTTGATTTTTATAGTGAAATAATTTCCTTTTTTCTTTCCTTTTTTCAAAATATTAAAATAATAAAAAAAAAAATGTTTATAAACACTAAGTTATTATGTTTATTTAAAATAAAAACAGTCCAAAGTTTTTTTTAATTGAAAAAAGTTATGCAGATTTTGAGGATAAGTATTTTTGTAAAAAGTAATTTTGCGAAAATTTGATATTTTTAAAGTTATCATGAATGGCTCAAGCAAGTTTGCTTTCATATCTAGTAATTAAACGAATGCATTTTTGAGTAGAGTAAAGGACCTATGATTTAATAATAAAATACCCAAAAAAGTTTAGAAGATTTGACTGTTTTTGAACTTTAGGCCACAGAAAAAAATTCTAGCCCACTGTACTTTATGGTAAAAAAAACTAGAATAATAAACTAAAAAAAAACTGATTTAATTTATTTTTAAAAACCTTTTTTTAATAAAAGATATATGAAATATATTTTTATGGGATATATTCTAATAAAGACAAAAACTATTTATTACTACTGTAATAAATACAATCTCTTATCCGTGAAATGAAATATCTGTACCAGTTTTATATATTTTTATGCATTTGAATGCAACAATATTAAAATTAATCCAAAAATGCAAAATAAACTTGACGTAAAAACGTTTATTCTGCCACATTCCGACGTCAATGCGCAAAACTTTTTTCGCTTCACTTTTAGATTAGTGTTTAATATTATTCTTTTTTTTGTAATCATAATCATAAGAATGAACTTTTTATTATGACTATGTTTTAGTGGTCTAAGATTTTCTTAGTTCCATTTGTATACAAACGTCTATAAGTGTAAGCGTCTTTAGCATATGTTGAGTTTGCACGCATTATATGGAATAATCGCGTATAATATATCTATAAAATGAGAAAACATTAAAATCCTAATTTTGAGAAATCTCTTTTGCTATATTGTTTTTTTTTTTGCCATAAATATATTAGCAAGGTTAAATAAGTTTCAAAATTAATTACGCAAAGAGGAAATCTTAAACTCCCCCCCCCCAAAAAAAAAAAAAAAAAAAAAAAAAAATTTCGTTTAATTTTTTTTGTAGCAGTCACCCTATTTCTTGCTGCACTTTTGTTACCTAATTTTCATTTTCCCTGATGCTAGCGCGTGAGACAGGGGGGCCATTGATCATTTATATATATATATAAACATATTTAAAAAATTTAGGGGCCCCTAAAATTTTTAAAGAACCTTTTTTTTTATTTTTTTTATTCTTAGGATCTGGCCCATAAAAAGGCCTTCAAAAACAAAGTTAGCCCCGGGCCCCAAGATGTCTTAATCCGTCACTGTATTTAGGAAGTATAAAGGTTGTTTAATATTATCAAATAAAATTAGCTGCGACTAGCTATAATTTAGACTTTGAATCGATTTTGAAGTTTCAAGATTTTTGACTAATTTAATTCTTACTTTACAATGCATTGCGACGTTTAAAAATTTATTTTTCTGGAATTTTGACGTTTAGCCAAAAATCCAATGAAACTTTTTAGATTTTTAAGTTGTAGTTCTAATTTTATGTTTTATTTTGTTGAAAAAAATTTTAATTTTGGTTAATTTTACTTTTCAGCTACTTACTTTATGCAGTTGTGAACTTTATCGTTGGGATTCAACTAGTGTATAATGTTCATTTATTAGCACATGTAGCACAAGTACTTGGTAGATATCCCTCTTTCAAATAAAAAACTTTTTCAGGTCATTTAAAAAAGCTTGTTCAAAGACCAAAGGGTTGCTCAAATAAACACGTACATGAAGATAAACAGAAGTTTAATAAGGAGTATTAAACTTCTGTTTATCTTTATTTTGATGGGAGTAATCATTGCATTGAAACGCTGCTTACAGTTTAAAAATTATCAAGGTTTACAGTGTTTTATTTCAGCTAATGAAAGTGATAATAGTTTTGAAATTACAAAAAAATATGATTAAAGTAAAAAGGTTTTAAAAAGCAGAAAAATCTTATGACAAAAAGGTTATGTTTGAGGAATTTGCAACTTTTTAGTCGTATTACACACACACACACTTACATACTTATATATTTATATATGTATATATATATATATATATATATATATATATATATATATATATATATAATATATATATATATATATATATATTTATGCATATATATATATATATATATATATATATATATATATATATATATATATATATATATATATATATATATATATATATATATACATACACATATGTGTGTGTGTGTCTCTCTCTCTCTCTCTCTCTCTCTCTCTCTCTATATATATATATATATATATATATATATATATATATATATATATATATATATATATATATATATATATATATATATATATATATATATATATATATATAAGCAGAGCTTTGCCTAGGGGGCTCATTTGCAAATATAGGGGCCCTTTTACAAATATAAGGATTTTTTTTTATTTAGCATTTTTATTTAGATTTTTTTTATGTATTGGAAAAGTTTTTAAGAATTTTAGGGCCCTTATGACAGGTTTTTTTTTGAATGGGAGGGGGGTTTGTATCTAGTAGCCACGACACTGTATATAAGGTATATACAATATATATCAAATTTTATACAATATAAATAAAAAAGTATATTTATTTAATAATTTTATATAATTTATTTATCAGTAACTAAAGATATGTTATTAATTTATTATATGAATCATAAGCATGTGCTTAACTATAAAAAGTGCATTATAAAACGTTGAAATAAGCGTCGATTATAAAATTAAAGGTTATGTTTTTCTACTTTTGATAGTGAAAATTACATTTTTTAATAAAAAATTGGAAATAAACCAATCAATTTATATATAAATTTGCTTTTTCTGTAAATTTTAAACATTTAAACGTAGCTTTGCAAGATTTGCAATGGGTAAACGTCGTGGGATCCTCACGGGATACCCGGCTGGCATACCCATATATGAGCCTATGAGAGTAAAAATGGACCAAGTCCAACTTTTTTCAAATGACCCTTATGTATGTAAAACTGCTAAAAATTTGCTATATTTTTAGAGCAAAAATGGACCAAATCCATAACACATTTATTTCTTATTCAACAGAGGGCAGCACATTTTTACTCAAACAATAAATCACCAGGTATAGAAAGTAATAGTGAACCAAGTCCATTGATAGTGCATTAATGTAAGAAATCAAGATTCAAGACCACATAAACTACAAATTTTCTTAGAATTATTATTATTATATTAGAACAAGAATAACATTTGTACAGGTAAGATGCTTTAAATGAATATCTGATTATGGTTTTATATTAATATAGTGAAGTATACAGCACTTTCACACTTTATAAAGTGACAAAACTGAAATTGTTTGGTGAGCGATAATATAAGGCTTATTCAATTGCTCTCAGCAGTAATATAAATATTGATTTGTTAGACAGTAGATATAATGGTCTGTCACTACCAAAGTTACAGCCTCTTTAGAAAGGTCAATTTTGTGGCTTTAATAACATCTAGCTAGGGGAGCACTTGCATGCATGTTGTGCACAAGTACATTATTCTTTCTAATAATATTCTGAATATATGTAATATTTAAAAAATATTTATTGTAGAATAGTGTAAACATGCATTCACGAGCCGCACACATGGTGTCACTGGCATTGATAAAGTGCAAGAAGGTTCAGAGATCTCTAGCTACAGATACAACAATTGCAGATCCTAACTTAGCAGCAGATATACAGACAGAACGTTTTACATTAGCAGCTGAATCTCCGATTGTAGCCGATAATTCACCGGTTGTAGCAGTTGAATCTCCGATTGTAACAACTGAATCTCCGATTGTAACAACTGAATCTCCGATTGTAACAACTGAATCTCCGATTGTAACCGATCAACGCCCTCGAAAACGAAAACGTTGTGTAACGAACTGGAAGAAAAATGTGATTAAGCGCTTACGAAATACAGGTAGCGAATATGTAAAGCATGGCGGAACGTTACAAAAACCTAAGAAATTAAACAAACATTATTTAATAAACCACAGTTGCAAAAACAAATGTGCTGAAAATTTGACTTTAGAGCAGACTAAAACTCTGTTTGAAAATTTCTGGAAATTGGGAGATCTTGATGCACAAAATCTGTTTCTTGCTGGCTGCGTGAAACAATCAACAGTAGAATGTAGACGACCAAGAGTAAGAAAAAACAAAATTACGAAAAATGAAAAAAAACGTGCAAAGGATTTTGCACGAGTATACTCTGTGTTTGCAGATAATAAGCCCGTTACTGTTTGCAAACCATACTTCTTGGCAATATTTGACATTAGCAGCGGTCGACTAAATCGTGCGTTAGTCAACCAACGGGAGAATGGTAGTGTGTCAGGCAAAGATGGACGAGGAAAATATGATCACAAGACACAACGCATTCATGAGGAACAAATCACTCGCATTAAAGATCATATTCGCATGTTTCCCACATACGTCACTATACTAGAAGTCGCAGTGCATCTCGCCGCTTTCTACCTGCTCATTTGACGGTATCCACTATGTACGACATGTATAGAGAAAAATGCATACAGGATTCAGTCGAACCCCAAAAAGAGTGGAAACTTCGGGACATTTTTAATCATGAATTTAACTTGACCTTCCATCAGCCACTAAAAGATACGTGCAAGAAATGTGACATTTTTAAAACAGACATTGAAATAGAAAAAACTGAACACAAAAAATCTCAACTAAAAGCAGCGCATGAGATTCATTTGCGCAAAGCAGAGAAGGCGCGTCAATCCTTAAAACTAGAAAAGGAAAATGAAAACAATAAACATGCATCTTTTTGTTTTGACCTGCAAAAGGTCATGTCATTGCCTTGCCTTACAACCAATGAAGTTTATTATTGCCGGCAATTATCAGTGTATATTCTAGGCATTCATAACCTTAAAAATGACAATGCAGTGATGAATGTATGGCATGAGGGAACAGCCTCACGAGGTGCAGGTGAGATCGGTTCATGCATATTGGCATATTGTCAAAATCTAGCAAATAGGGATATTACGTCTATTACAGCATTCAGCGACTCGTGCGGCGGCCAAAATCGAAATATAAAAATTGCACTGTTATGGATGCATTTGACGCAGACGACGAGTATTGAACTGGTGAATCATAAGTTTATGGTCTCTGGGGATTCTTATTTGCCTAACAATGCAGATTTTGGAATAATTGAAAGAGCAAAACCAAAATCCACAGAGATCTTCGTGCCAGAACAGTGATACAAATTGATCGAGAACTGCTCTATGAAGAAGCGCTTCAGTGTTGCAAGATTAAGCACTGATAATTTCAAGAGTGTGGAGCCCTTATTGAAATTAATTACAAATCGGAAAGTAGATGAGAGTGATCAGAAGGTCAACTGGCTGGATTTGTAATGGCTGCAACTTAGAAAGAACGAGCCATACAAACTGTTCTTTAAATACTCTTTAGATGATGACGCATCATTCAGTTTCATTTCGCTAGCGAAACGCGGACGTCAAACGAATCTTAGTGAAGTGAGTTCCACTGTACTGTGGAGCAACAAAACTGAGCATAGAAAAATACTCAGATCTAATAAAACTGTTAAAGTTCCTCCCATCTATCATGACTTCTATCAAAAGTTGGAACACAGCGGTCACAACAAGGATGTACTAGAAGATGAACTGCTCGATGACAGCGGCGATGATGATCAGTAAATTCGTGTGGTTTTTATTGTACTGTTTGTAACAATGAGGACTATTTTTGCCGATAATTAGTAAATAGTAATTGTGTTTTTTTACAACATAGTATGAATTTGTACTACTTGTCTCAATTTGAATTGCTATTGTAAACGAATAATATGAAATTTGTTCATGATTTTACACTAAAATGATTTAGCGATTTGTTGATTATGTTTAGAGAAAAAATGGACCAAGTCCATAACTATCATTATATTATTAATAATTATTCAAAAATTTATTTGTGCGTTTCACATATTTTGTTGTCTAAGAAAAAAGATTTAAAATAATACAATAATATTACATATGGCTGATTTATCATCAATAATATTACATATGGCTCATCATCATCAATAATATTACATATGGCTGATTTATAATATATGCAAACACTAAGAACGCTTATTTCTAACAATATAGAAATACGGATTTGGTCCACTTTTACTCTTATGGGTTCATATATGCCCCAGAAGAAAATCGTGGCCAAGTTCCGGCGGGTTCCCGTTGGGTTTCCCATATGCGTCTCATTTGCAAACCCAAATGGGTTTCTCACGGTTTAAAAGTACGGGATTTGACTGAGACCCATACGGGATACCCGACGGGCTAACCCATATGGGTTCCATATGGAAACCGCGGCCATGATCCGGCGAAATACCGTTGGTTTCTCCCATACGGTGGGTACGCTGGGTATATATATATGTATATATATATATATATATATATATATATATATATATATATATATATATATATATATATATATATATATATATATATATATATATATATATATATATATATTATATATATATATATATATACATAGGGGAAAGCGGGGCAACATGGCGAATGGGGCAAGATGGGTTTTCATATAACAACTCAACAAAAAGTCTTAAAATTGGTTGAAAACGAAACTTTATTTGCATCTTGTATTTTTAAACACCAATATGTTTTTTGAAATATTATTAACGCAATTTTATACGCATAAGTTTACTTTTTGCGTATAAAATTGCGTTAATAAAATTCCTCACTTTCGGTTTCTCATAATTTTTTTTTTTTTTTTTTCAGTTTACAATTATTAATCGTAATATAACAATATAACAATATATAAACTTGGTATCTGAAAGAAGATCCAAATGATCTTGTCGCCATAACCAAATAAAATATATCATACGTGTATATATAATAAAATAAAAATACAATTGATCTAATAACTATTAACAATGTAGAAAAAACAAAATCTGAAAATAATTTTACAAATTACCAAGAGTGAAAAAAAAGAATTTTACATTTCAAAAATATTTATATATATTGCCAGTAGAAAGAATATAGTTTTTTAATTTAGTTTTAAAAATGGAAAACGAAATTGACAAATTAAAATTTGGAACGACAATTTTGTTCCATAAATACGGTGCTCTATAGTTTATGCAAAATTGATTAAACTTTGGTTGATTAAATAATGAATGGTGTCCTTCAAGTTTAACTTCTTTAATAGTAGTTTTTTGCAATTTGTGTTTATTTTTTGTTACTTTAGCTGGAGTTATTGGTAGTTTTTAAAAGTTTATAAAATTAGAGGTAAAAATTGCATAATAAGTCATCTTGCCCCAGTCACGTGACCAGATGACAAATTTATGAACTTTTTATTTTAATATTTTCTTCAAATTGTTATATTTGCAAACTGAAAATTCATGAAGGCAATGAAGGATTTTAATAACATAAACATACTGAGAAAGTATTTCTGCTTCACGACTAATAGTTTTGCAACAACTCAGGGCTTTTAAAACATTCGCCATGTTGCCCCGCTTTCCACAATATATATATATATATATATATATATATATATATATATATATATATATATATATATATATATATATATATATATATATATATATATATATATATATATATATATATATATATACTATTTTTAAAGATAACACGATGTTTTTTATTCTTGACATGTTTTGTGAAATTTAATTTACATTAAGAAGATCTGTTGCAAGGACACGCCCCTGACGAGTGGCGTTAGTGCAGGTCTCGGGCTCTCCGAAACGTCATTGGTGATCGCAGTGCATTCCTGAGGAGGGGGATCACCATTTATCCACTACTTAATTCTAATTGGTTATTATGACACCAACATTTTTTTACCTCTTAAACCCATGTATTTTTGCGCTTTGTAAGCTTTTTATTATGAATTTGTTACATTAACGACATTTATATATATTTATGTTACACAGGTGATTATCAGTTTTCAATTTTTTATCTAGAGTTCAGAACATATATAGTACCACATTTATTAGACACTTGTATGGTGCGATTATTTTAGTTATGAATACCATTATAAACCAGCGGATCTTTATTGACTTGTTTACTCATAGATCATTGTTTTATCATTTGCTAAAAGATGACTAGAGTGTGAGTTTTTATTCCTCTTTTCCTGAGTTGCTAACTTTTATTCCTCCTACTAAATAATCTTTACATTAATTTATGTTTTTTAACCTAAATGACATCATCTTCAATCTGTTTTTATTTTCACATCTCTCAGGTCTACGTAACTGGACGGCTCCGTTGGTCACTTTTTGCGATGATTGTGTCGCATATGCAAAAAAATTTATTCTTTGTGGCTGGTGAGCCCCGACTTTTTCCAATGTACACCACAACGACAAAACGTACATTAGGCTATCCCGCTGGATGTGGTTACGGCGCTCAATAACCTAATGACTACGCTGACACTCACGCACACGTTCATTCGGAAGCTCCACAATGCACGTCGGATCAGCGCTCGCTGACTATGTGCTCGGATCTGAAATCTCACTTCATAGCACATCATTTCACACCAGCACGGGGCAGTAGCTCTTTTGGTTAAGAGTGATGGCTTGTGGCCTACGGTGACTAATGTGTGCATTCAATCAATTGAAATCCATTCTGTAGGTCTTACGTCTGGCTCTGATGTGCTAGCCCATAAGAGCAAGAAGTGAGTGTGTTTAGCTTTCTATTCACCCGATTTGAAAGTGAACGAAAACAAAACGAGACCATACTAGACGACAAACGGTACGTACTAATGCACTACACCATCACATCTGTAGACATCAGCAGTCTTCAAAATCAGTATATCAAATATTTGTTTTTTGTTACATATGATCTACATACAGAGTGATTAGAGTGTTAGTTGTTCTCTTCTTGCCCTCCGAGCATTTACTTCGTTCTTTACCTTCACAAAAGTCTTATCACTCATTTTGTATTTTCTTATGATTTTTATTTTTTATTCAATGACTCCATCTTCTAATTGTTTTTATTATCACATCTCTCAGGTCTACGAAACTGGACGGTTCCATTGGTCACTTGTTGCGATCATTGTGTCGCATAAACAAAAGATTATTTTACAACAATAAAACTCTGAAATAAATATTAAAAAATAGAAGTCTTTACAGAGAAATTATAGCGGACAAAAACTTTACATAATGAACCCATATATTTATTAGAAAATAACTCGGTAAATAACCAATCAAAATAACTAACTGTCAAAAAAAAAATTAATAATAATGATAAACTGACAGTAAAATTAAATAAATAAGTTTATAGCATTTTGTGAAGTTTGCTTATTAAGTGAGGGACTTTTCCATTTAATGTGGAGGGTTCCTTTTATCTTTAATTTGTGTTTGGTTGGGGCATTATTCAAAATCTCAAAAGAATCACAGTTAGCCAGATTTTTGCAATTAACAGATAAATTTGTTTTGCAAAAAACAGATAAAGTGTTTAAATAAATGAGATTGTTTATCACTTTTAAGGGAA